GCTTCTCACTAACTTTTGGTTTTGGGAAATAGTTATTTTAAAATAAATGTGTTTATTTTAATATGTAAAGGGTTTGTTTTTAAACGAATTAAATATTTTTACATTTCTTTTAAATTTCTGGTATGGTAAATATTTATAGATATAACCCACCTAAAAGTTCTTTGGTGCCACTCAGTAACTTTTAAAAGTGTAAAGGGCTCTTGAGACCAAAAATTTTGAGAATTGCTGTCCTACAGTAACAACAAACCTAATGTATTGAAAACTAAAATCATTCTTTCTCACATACTTCCCAAACTTAATTTTTGTGTTCTATTTTATATCTTGGTAAGGTACCACAATTACCAAGATTCCAGGCCAACATCTTGAGGGTCATTCTTATTCCCCCTTCTTTTCTTAACCTAGATGTTAATAGTAATCGCTAACATTTATTAAGTACTACCCATGTGCTAGGTACCATTCTTAGTGGTTTAAAACCATTATCTTCTTAAAGCCTCACAACCACCCTACGTTTTGTAGGTATTAATACTTACCCCCATTTTACAGATGAGGAAGCAGAGATACAGAGTTGTTTAAGTATCTTGGCCATGGTTATGCAGCTAATAAGTTGCAGAGCCAAGATTGGACTCCAGCCAATCTTTTGAACTTATACTTCTTTTTTCTAGAACAGTTTATGTGAAATTTATGTTACGTGTTTCTTAAGGATTGTATACACACGCCCTATAAAGTCATCTAGGCCTGATGCTTTTTAGAGAGGTAAATCTTAGAGGACCTTTTCAGTGTCTTCTGTTGTTGTTTTACAATAGAATTTTCTTCTATGAGCTCATTTTGGTCAATTATATTTTATGGAGCAGAGGCTGAAAAACTACAGCCTGAAAAAGACCAAATTTATCCCACTCCGTATTTTGGTATATAAAATTTTATTGGAACACAATCATATCCATTCATTTACATGTTGTCTATGGATGTTTTTTGTGCTACAATAGCAGAATTGAGTAGTTGCAGCAGAGACCAGATGACCTGCAAAGCCCAAAATGTTAACTATCTGGCCTTTTCCAAAGTAGGTTTGCCCAGCCATGTTGTAGAACATGGTTCAGTTTAGCTGGGCTTTCTGTTTACTGGCATCGATTGTACATAGTATTTTCTTGTCTTTCCAGAATCTCTACATTTGAAATTGTCTTTTTTAAAATTTTTTTATTCCAAGTACTATTTGTATTTCTTCTCCCCCCACCCCCAAATGTTTGGGAGTATTAAAATTTTGTCTGATTTATTGGTAACACTGTTATGTTGGTGTTCCATCTTATGCTGTTTCTTAAAAGTATGCTAGTAAGAAAAAGGAATGTATGGTTGTATTTATTGGTCATTGAAACCTTCTGATCCTGACTGGTGGTTTTATAGATTTCTCCATTTCTCCTGTGCTAATTAATGTGTGTATTTTTTCTCCCTCTTCTGGGATCATTGTTAAATACTTTCTTCCTTCAACTTTTCCAATAAATTTATAGAATTGAGCCTAAGGAAATATTTTAATTTTAGAAATTCTTCTCTTATTTTTTTCCATTTAAATTTTTAAAAAATCAAGTAAACTAGTAGTTTGTTTTTGTTTTTAATAGAACCATGCCTTGGATTTATTGGTTCACTTTTAAAGTAATTGATTTCTACTTTTAGCTTCACTAATTTCTTTTGTCTGCTTCCTTTGTTTCTTGTTTGTTTTTTCTCTTAATCCTCTACCAAGAATATTTTCACATTTATCTTCAGACAGAGTGGGGCGGGGGAGAGAGAAACATTGATGTGAGAGAGAGACATCAACTGGTTGCCACCCATACCGACCCCAACCGGGGCCAGGGACAAACTGCAACCCAAGTATGTGCCCTTGGTTGGAATCGAACCTGGGACTTTTTGGTCCGCAGGCCAACACTCTAACCACTGAACCAAACTGGCCAGGGTGTTTTGCTTTGTTTTTAACTTGAGTTGATGCATTAATTCATTCTTGTTTGCTGAAAATAATTAAGGCTTTGAATTTTTCTTTGAGCACTGGTTTAGCCATATCTTAAAATTTATTATGTATATTCACTATTATTTTCTTGATAACCTGCAGTTTTGGTACTTATTTTCAACTCAAAATGTATTTAAGGCAGACTTATTTGCTAGTTTTGCTCTTTCTAGTGTGATTGAATTATAATTCAGAAATATCTGTATTATTTCTACTTTTTGTAATTTGTTTATGTTTTCTTTAGAGAGAGAGAGAGAGAGAGAACTTTTTATGACTGTTTCATGGGTACTTGTCAAAAAAGGTGTTATATTATCTGTTTTCAAAGTATATCATTTGCTTTTCTCAGTTTCCATTTGGTTTTACATGTTTTGAGACTAAGATTTGGTATATAGAGGTTCTTAGCTATTTATATATTTTAATAGGTTGCTTTTACAAATACAGAATATCTCTTACCCTTGAATACTTAAAATGATACTACTGTTGCTTTCTTTAAATTTTGTTAGCATTTCTTGGTAGTATTTGTTTCTATATCCTCCCTCCCCCCCCCCCCCCATTTTCCTGCATTGTTTTGTTTTAGGAGCAGTTTTTATAAAGCATATTCCTAAAGTTGCAGTTTTCTTTTCTTAACTCAGTTTAAGAGCTTTTATAACAAGTGATTTTAACACATGAACATTTATTGTGATTATATATGTTTTGGGGCTTATGCTCAGCATCTCATTTTGTGTTGCATATTAACCACAATTATTGTATTTTCTGTATCTGTTGAATGGATCAATGTTTTGTATTTTTATTTTTTCTCCTTCCAATGGTTTGGATATTTACTGACATAATTATCCTAAACTTTGACCGCATGTGCAAAATAGCCAATATTATATGGTACTTGTAGTGTTAAAGCTCTCATTCATGTCTTCATATAGGTTATTCAGTGTTTCATATAGGTTATCTTCTGATTCCTTGGCTGCATTAAAGAACATTTTCCTGTTGCTATCTCACACAAGTAATATCTTGTTTGAGTATTAAATTACTGTCACCATCATTTCCTTTTAATAAAATGGCAGACAAGCCTGCTTTTTAGTAAAGGGTAACTATACCACTTTAAGGTATATTCAAGTGCCAAATACCATGCTGAGCCCCAGTACTAAGCATTTAAAAGCTGAATTAAAGTTTTTGTTTTCCTTATAATTTTATAATTACATACACTTTTTGTTTCAAGGTACTTTAGAATATCCAATGCCCTCTTTTTCCCATGATGAAAAAAAAAATATATATTATTGCTGCATTCTGGGAGCGTTAAATGATCTGGGAGACAAAATTTTCATACATAAAGAAATTAGACCTAGAATGTACTTGGCCCAATGATTATTAGTAAGAGGCTTTTCTGTTGCTTTCAAAAAGAATGGAAAGGATTCTGAGCAATAGGGAGAGTGTTTGTAAATTTCATCATCATCCCTCCTGAACTACAATTTGCTTATATTTTTTAAATTGTGACTTTGACTTTTCTAAAGTAATACAAGGTCAAAATCATATGTTAAAAAGTATTAGTATTAGTGACCATCTGAATCCATCAGTTGTTCAGATAAGGAAAACCCTAGTGGGGCTAGACTGTTAAATGAGAGGAGGCTGTAGAACTGAGCGTGCGTAAGTGGAAATTGGTTAACTGTTGGAAACAACACATGTGACCAACATTTTATCACAGAATCATACACATTGTAGGCATTTGATAAACACTTGTTTTATTTGGGCCACAGTAATAGCTTCTTTCTACTGAGTGTTTACATTATACTTGGGTACTAGAGCAAGACTACTGTATAGACAAGGAGAAAGACAGGGATAACCCAGCTGGTGAGTTGTGGGCTGTTTTAATTTCAGGCCTGGAGCTCTTAACTGTTGAACAGAGTTTTCTCTTGAGTGTCCTCACCACTCACATGAAGACTTTATTTCACTTTATTTATGTGACAGTGGCATTTGTGAAGATGCATCAAAATCTCTCAGAAACATTTAACTGCTTCAGAAGTTGAAGGTGGTATTGTGCCACTGTTTATGTAGCCTTGTGCTCTATGAACATTTACATATGTAACCTAAGGATAAAACGAGGTCTGCACCGTTTTATCCCTGTCTCACAGAGGAGCCACGGGCTCAATAGTATTCATGTACCTTTCCCAAAGACAGAGCTCAGGGAAAGCAACCTCGGCTAGAAACCTGGGTCCATCTCGGACCAAAAGTTTATATACCGTGCTGCCTCTCTGTAGTTTTGAGATTGGGTGTATCTTACCTGGTTTAAGGCATTTCTGTCAGTGTATTTACTTATTTAATCTCTTTAAGAGTTCGAATATTCACTACCTATAGTCTTGATTGTTCATACAGTCGACAAGTGGCTATTTCTGAGATTTATTTCTCCAGTTTTGATTAGTCTTATAGATTTCATCCTGTTTTCTTTGTATTTACTTCCCTGTTCTCAGTTTATTTGATTCAGACTTTACATTTTAACAAAGTCATGGTCACCTTCACTTTTTTGTAAGGACACTGACAGATAGTTTCTACCCTTGTTCTTGTATTGTGTTGTCTTTAAAAGATGAAAAATCAAGACCAAACATACTAAACATGAGGCAGATTAAGAACAGTTATCAGGGAATTGAGGATTCTTTTAGGATTACCAAAATTTGATTTGCCACTATTCTTTATTGTGAGTTCCGTAGTTGCATACTCAGTGCTTGTTCTCCAGTCAGGGAATAATAATATCAGGTGGAGATGGTGAACATGAGCTGTCATCTGGGCTCGAGAATGCCGGTGGTCTCCATGACCTCACTGGACAGGGAGTTAACAGAAGGCAAATCAACTCTTAGCAGTGATCTCTCCTAGGAAAACTGGAGCCCATGAATGAGACTGTCCCACACATTTAAAGTTTTGTTCCTTTAGGATTGTTTTTCTTAGTGCCTTTTTACTTAGATGGCTGACTATGGAGGTACACTTAACTGGCTAATCTTTTCCACCCCTTTTCTTTTGTTGGGATCAGTGCCAGAACAGATAAAGCCCAGTGTAAGCCAGCCTCAGCCTGCCAACTCTAATAACGGCACTTCCACAGCAACCAGCACTAATAATAATGCCAAGCGAGCCACAGCCAACAGTCAGCAGCCGCCACAGCAGCCACAGCAGCAGCCACAGCAACCACAGCCACAGCAACCGCAGCCACCACAGGCCTTGCCTCGGTATCCTCGGGAAGTACCACCACGATTTCGCCACCAGGAACATAAACAGCTTCTAAAGAGGGGTCAACATTTTCCCGTCATAGCAGCAAACCTTGGATCTGCTGTTACAGTGTTAAGCAGCCAGTCAGAAAGCAGTGCTTTAAAAAACCAACACCCACAAAATAACGGAGAGGTGCAGAACAGCAAAAACCAGTCAGGTGAGAGAAGGCGTTTCTTCAGCTGTCATCACTAGTGGTGTAGCAGGTTTATAAATTCGCGGCTTTGGGGTGATGTGTTTGTATTCATTAGTATGGTTTGCAAAATAAGAATCTGTACAGCGAGTTATGAATAGGGAGTCTTGAAATGTTGCCTGTGCGGTCCCTGCCTATCCTACATTAAAACTGATCATTTAAATCACTCTCCCTCCAGGTTCTACCTATTTTAATAAGCAGCTTATAGCTAAAATTGATCATAAGACTTTAGGTAAAAATGAACACTCCCCTCAAGTTATATGCTAAATAGTTATGCATATTGTATTTAATCCTCAGCAACCTTGTGAAGTGTAAGCTGTTCTTGTCTCCACTTTTCATTAGAGGAAACTGAAGCACCAAGCCATGAAATAACTTGCCCAAATCACTCAGTTACCATGTGCTATGAAAAAGGCTGCCACTCGTAAAAATTAGGTTCAGATAGCACATGCACTCAGTTGTTGCCTCAGAATGACTTTTCTTAGCTTAGTAATGATTGTGAGGCAGAAAGTACATCTAGTATGTGATTACAATTTTCTCAAAGTCCAGTGTGTTTTGACATGTTGTTCTGATAGGTTCTGAGGGTTGGTTGGTTGATCTATTCTTCAAGCAAAGTATTTTGAAGCTTTTTATCACAAGCCAGCTAGAGGATGGAGGAGCATCAAGGTTCCCACTCATGAAAACACTAGCATAGCATACTGGTAATGAATCATGTCTCTGGAGTCAAGTGGCCTAGTTTTTAAATCCTAGTCCCACTGTATGCTCCATGTGTCTGAATCTCACCCAAGCAGCCCTTTCTAACTTTCCCAGCTAGTTACTCATTTTCTACTTATATGCTCTCTGTACAAAGCAGGAGCTTCTCTGTACATATTGTGATATTTCACAGCTAATAAGTAAGTAACAGAGCCTGTATTCACAGCAAGATCTGTCTGACTCCAAAGCTGTGCTCATGACAGCCATGTTGTGCTTTGGCAACATCCTGGATGTGATAGGTAAGAAGGAAGAGGACAGAAATGTGATTTTTCTAGCATAGGTAATTAGAGCAGCACAGTATTACTGGAAAGGATAAAAACTTGAATTATCATCCTGAGTTAATACTCCCTCCTCTTCAGACACTTATTACCAAGTGAGTTTGGCCAAATCACTTAACTCACCTGAGCCTCTTTCCTGATCTGTAAAATGTGGACAGTAATATCCAACCTATAAGGTTGCTTTGAGGATTAAATTATGTGACATGTTAAAGCAAATAGCTTAGTGCAAAACATTTCAGCACTGGATGAATTATCTCCCCCTGAAAGTTGTACCAAGGACCTCCATTTTTCAGGAAGAAGAGTCTGCTTGAGACACAATCCTTCTAATGCCAGACAATTAATTTGGTTCGAAGTTCATCTGGGAAGTCAGATTGGAAGCAGATGTATTGAGTCATCAGCATAATAAAAAATGCGGGGAAAACCTTAGGAGAGATTATTATGCAGCAAATCCTTGATACCTACTGCAAGTTAAGCAATGGTGGTATGGTAATTAAACAGAAGTGGGTGGTAAATTTAGGAAATGATATATTTTAAATATGCTTTTTCAATTTGAGAAATGAAAGAACAAAGCTGGTTTTAAAATGAAAACAACTGGAGTGTAAGAGTCTTCTTTCTCAAAAATGGATGTGAGTCAAAAAACCCCAAAAGTGTTACAGATGTACATTCAGATGACAAGTGGGCATAGGAAGATGTCTTCAAAAAAGTCTGAAAAGGAAAAATATCCCACCTGTTCCAAAAAGGACTTTACAAGGTTGAACAACGTTAATGTGGAGGGTGAGGTGGAAGTCAGGAGGGTGCAGCAGAGCCTCACTGAGGTCTGAAGTTAGTCCCCAGACAGCTAGAGTGCGGATGCTGAAGGAAGCATTCTGCAGAAGAACCTGATTTGTGCTTTGTCTGCTTTTAAACATTTGTGAATTCCTACCTACCAGCATATGTCACATGTTACAATTTCTTTGTGGTGCTACCAGGAACAATAGTAGAAACTTGAGCCACAGAAGAGACCACTGGGTGTCTGTGAATTAGGGAATACTTCTTAGACAGCTGTGTCCCAACTCCTGAAAGGTTAATATAACAATAGTGATTAACCCTTATGGGGTACTTACTATGATCCACTTATTGTATGAATGCATTTAATCTTCCATTTTACAGATGAGAGAGATCACATTTGTTTCACAGGTTACAGAGTAGCGTGGTGCCATGGGGAGCAGTGTTACAGACAGCATCAACAGCACGAGCGGTAGCCCAGAAGCATGGGGTTTAGTGTTGTGAACTACATGCAGTTCAGAATTGTGGGGACCAGTCTCTTTTTATTTTTGTATATTTGTATTTATATTTGGCCTTTTATTTCCTAAATAGAGATAGTTAATGGAGTCGAGTTGACATTTAAATAAATGTATGTAATACATACATAGAAATATATTTGAAGTCTTTGTGGTAACAGTGAGGAATGCTGGATGTGTCTCCCTTTCCTCATATAATGCATTTCTCATTTAGTCAGGGAGCAGGCATAGTACCTGCATGAGACCGGGTACTTCATAAACCAGAGGTCGCAAACTAAAATACCTTCACAAGCTGGCAGGTAAGTTGAAGTAACAGATGAAAGAGAGTGATGGGAACTGGGGTAAATGTATTGATTTCTGTACCCTGCCTGAAATACCTTTACATTCCCATGTTAAGTTTTTAGAACCCTGTGCCAGTCAAACCAGACAAATCTGTAGGCTGAGCTTAGATACTGAGTGATGGTTTCATTTGACTCTATGAGACCTTTGTAGTTGGTTGCTTAGGCATCAGACCCTGTTACAGCCCAAATGATACTGGAATTTGAGGGGACCCAATGCTTAACAAAGTGGGTAGCACTATTGTTCTTATGAGCCAGTGGATTCCCAGCCCACATTTTATCATCAAGCTTGCATGATAAATACAGAAATGAAGCACATAGAACAGTGAACCCTATATGCTCTCCACCCAAATCCATCAGTTGTTAGTGCTTACCCATCTTGATTTCACAAGCAAACCGTCCCCCATCACATAGACATATATGTTCACATGTGTGCTCAAACATTCATTTCTCTTCACCTTAAATACTTCCACAGGTAATTTCCTAAGAATAAGGACAGTCTCCTAAATAACCATGGTATTATGATCACTCCTAAGCAAAAGGACAACACTCACATTGCCACTGGTTGTCCCAAGAATGTCTTTTGTTTGTTTACAGTATGGTATTATTTATATAAAATATAAAGCATGCAAAACAACGTTATGTATTGCTTAGTAATGGATTAAAGTAGAACATTTTGAGAGGTTACCACTTGGTTACCCAGTGGAAAAGGAAGGCGATGTAATCAGAAGGGTTACACAAGAGTTTTATACTGTAATGACTAGTATATTTCTTAAGATGAACGGCATGTGGTTATTTTTTATATTACTCTTTATAGCCTTTCCTGCTTTTGAACCTTTTTTAAAAGCACCTCAGGAATATTTGAGCTATAATGGTGAAACACCAAGACTTGGGACTATTTTAATTTTTTAAAAAATGTTAACATTAAAATTTTCAGTGATGTTTAAAGATTAAAATACTATCCATCCACCTGTGCTCTTCACTGTCTTTTTAGTGTGGTATTCATTGTTCCTGTCATGTAACTTCTTCCTGCTCTCAACTTGTACCTTCTCCTTGGTCTGTGAACACATTCAAGTCTCTATCACCCTTTAAAATAAATTCCTTTACACTCTCATTCTCTTAAGGCTATTAGAGAATTTCTTTCCTCCACTTTGTCTCCAAGTTCTTGAAGGACTAGCCTATACTTAAGCCATCTCTAATGCATTACTTCAGTTCCCTATAATCTGATTCCGCTCACTTGACTAACAGCTCTTATTATGGTCACTGATCTTGTGAATGTCAAGTACACACTTAGTTTTATTTTTTCAATGTGGCGAAAAACAGACTTTTCTATTTTTATCTTAATAGACATCTACATGTTTTATTGCTGACCATTTTCTCCTTGAAGCTCTTTTCATTATTCTTTGACCAGTTTTCAGATTTTATTCCCTCCTGTGGTTTTGTTTAAAATTACTACCCATGTTTTTAGGTTCATATATTCTGGTCTGGATGTCTTCATCTGATTTTGGGCCCCTCGTACTCAACATGTCCAAAATTGAACTCATTATCTTGCCACATGCCAATTTCTCCTTCTGGATTCCATTGCCCAAAAGATTGGCACCCCCATTCATCCAGTCCCCCATCTAGAAATCTTAAAATCATGCTTGACTCCCCCTATTTATTCTTTTATTTTTTATCCTCACTCGAGAACATTTTTGCATTTATCTTCAGATAGAACTGGAGGGAGAGAGGGAGGAAGAGAGAGAGAAACATCGAAGCGGGAGAGACACATTGAATTGAGTCGTTGCCACCCACATGACCCGGGGCTGGGAACAAACTGCAACTGATGTATATGCCCTTAGTGGGAACCGAACCCAGGACTCTCCGGTCCTCAGGCAGATACTCTAACTGCTGAGCCAAACCGGCCAGGGCTCCCCCTATTTATTCTTAATGTCTCACAGGTTAGTGGTTTACCATCTCCTGCTGATTTTAAGTCCAAAATATCTCTGAGCTTTCTTCTCTCAACTTCACTGCTGCCACCAATGACCTGGCTGAGGCACGCACCATCTGGTCCACGACCACAGCCCAGAATATCTGACAGCTGTCTCCCACCTCCCTCACTCTAGCACTCAAACCAGAACCCACTCATGATCCACGTGTTGCATTTGGTTTTGGTATTGCCATTGCCGTCTTTAATCTAGAACAGAGGTTGGCTTGTAGCCTGTTGGTCACCACTCCCATTCCTTTACATGTTGGTTGTGACTGCTTTCAAGCTACCGTGGTAGAATACGATTTGGCAGAGTGGAGATTCTGCCATATATCTGGCTGGCAAAACCTAGAATATTTACTAATTGGACTTTTACAGAAGAGGTTTGTTAACCCCTGGACTAGAGGCTTGAATAGCTGAAAGAAGCATTTTGTACTTTCTCACTTAAGTGATATTTTCTCATATTTCCAATGATATCATTTTATACTTTCTGGAAATACTGTAAAACCCAAGTACTATTTATTTCTGAAGGTCTTTTCTTTCTGGAGAGATTGAAAGTCTTTAAGGCAGAAATCATATATTTAACTAAATATGATAAAATTTTAATAAGAAAAATATATGAATTTTCCTGGATCTGAATTCGTCCAGCATAAATCACTTGACTTATCACCAGTCTTTACCGTGCCCCCACACGTGTTCTTTGATCTTCCTGAACAGAGATGCTGGTGACATTTTGTACTTTAGATGTTTCTCAGTGAAGGCAGTCATTCAAACCTTCATTGCCTCAGCAGTGCAGTGTATAAAAATTTGTATTTTGCACACACTCAGTAAAACCCCACTGTCCCCCTGCTCCCACCTGCACAGGATCTTACAGTCTTCCTGTTTCTGACTGTTGTCCTGTAAAAGCTTTATGATCATCTTCTACTTAATCATGTTTCCATACGTTTATTTTCTAGATCATTTGTAATGTTGGATTGTGGCTTCCTTGTCTCTAAGGGGAATAGATTATTTGTCTTCTTCCAATTCTGAAGTAGTCTGTGAAACGTTTTAATTGTGATTGCTGAGGAGTCTTACTCTTTTTGCAGCTTCAGTTAGACTAGTACCTCCACACACACACGCACGCACATCTCGGAGTTTTCTATCTAAGCTACAATGTTTTTCATAACTAAAAAGGCCCTTGTAATCCCCCCTTGGTAGATGCAATTTTTGAAATATCCTTTTAATGTAGTTTTTTGGTGTTTTTTTTTTTTTTTTTTTTTTTGAAATATCAAGTTAAGTTCCAGATTTAAAATGAAATTTTTGTCAAATAATTACTGTTGGCATGTTTTCTTATTTTCCTAAAATACATAGGAATATATAGTAGAAGACAAATATAGACCACCACCACCTCCAAAAGAGGCTGGGACCAGATTCTGAGAGAAATTTTCACTGACAAGTCAGTGTGGTTGAGTTTGTTTAACTGGCTTTTCCTTTTTCTTTTGATGTATCCTGACTTAAAAACGCTTTACTTTTTTGGTAAGTCTATGTCATTTTTAAAATGGTTTCTTTCTTTGCTTTTATATATAAAAAGTTATTAACTGATAACTTCATGCTTTCATCTTTTAATATTGGAATTATTTGGAAAATTCTTTCATTTAAAAAATCATTTTTAAGTATTATATATTCCTTTTCTCTTACTGATTTAAAACACTAACTGTTGCCATGTACTTGGGTCTGCTGGATCCCTTTTTCAGCTCAGTTGAAGTGCTTATATGCTGATAGTACAATGCTGTGTAACTCATGATAGAGCAATTCTCCCTCCCCCATGCACTCTGTCAATTTTTTTGAGATTACAAAAATTCTCATTTGTTTTATTTGAATTTTTAAATTACTTCAATCAAGTTACAGACTCTTGTTAGTAATTCTTTTTTTTTTATCCTCATCCAAGGACATTTTTACATTTTTCTTCAGACATAGTGGGAGGGACAGAGAGGGGAAGAGACACATTAAACGGTTGCCACCCACAGAACCCCAGCTGGGGCCGGGGACAAACTGCAACCAAGGTACACGCCCTTAGCGGGATCTGAACCCGGGACTCTCTGGTCTGCCGGCCAACGCTCCAACCGCTGAGCCAAACTGGCCAGGGCTCTTGTTAGCAATTCTTATAATTGGATTAAACTTTGAATATTGTCACAGCTTCCTTTTGAGAAAATTGCTGTACTCAAATTGTCTTCAATGGCCTGCAATATACTTAATCATATATGACTGTAAAGGTTTTTGTAGCTTTATTCTAAGTTGCTTTATAGTTTTTGTTTTTTGTGTGGCTGTTAAAATGAGGCTCTTTTTTTATCAATTATTCCTGTAGTATAGAAAAAACTATGGCTATTTAAACATTAACCTTTTCTGTTTCTTTTCTACTATCTTTACCTCATTTTGGGGTTATGTTTCATCAGTATTTCTAGCACAAATTTGAGTAGTAGTGTTGATGACAAATATTCCATCTTTTTCCTGTTGTTATGGGAATACTTCTGATGTTTCATTGTTAAATTCCAGGTCCTTCCCTTTGCTTTCAACTTGGGTAGTTTTGTCTGGCATTCCCAGTCTCACATTCTTATTTCTGCTGTATGGAGGAACACACATACAAATGAAAGCAAATAATGACAACAGAAATACTCTTGCTGTAGCCTGTAAGGAGATGGTGATGGTGGCTTTATTGTTTTAAGATTTGGAGAAAAGTGGATGGATTTGGGACTTGGTCAAGTTTGGATTTGCTGTGCACAGGAAGGAATCAAGGATAAATCTTAGTTTTAAGAAACTTACTGAGATGAGGAAAATTAGTAAATAAGTGGGATTATTTTTTTCCCTTTGGGAGGAGGTACTTGTGGGAGTTCACCTGTACCCCAGGGTTGCTTCAAGGACTCCGTGACAAAGTGCACATGAAGCACGTGGGCCATAGTGCTGAGTGGTGCTGGTTAGGCAGGTGCTGGAGTGTTGATTTGTTTATCCAGTACCACTGACTGGCTTTTGCTACTCTTTATTTCCTTGTGGGTTCAAAAAAATGATTCTTAAACGAGTAAAAATCAGTCACAGAACTTTAAAATAGTTGGTGTCTCTCTAGTTCTTTTTTCTGCTATTCTTTCTAGTTCCATCACCTTTTGCTGCTTAGTAGTTGTGCTTTGAGAGAAAATTGTGTAAGATGAACCTGATTTTCCTGTTAGCAATACCCTAATGGTGAATTACATTTATTTTCTAGGCCTACAACCCAGTGGTGGGTTCATTAGGTCTGGGGCATGATTTGAACATGTACATATGCTGATTGCTATTGTAAAGAGAACGGGCAGTGTAAGCTACCCCCTAAAGACCTGTGAGGAATTTCTAACTATACCAGATCCTTGAACTAAATCAGAAGCACTAGAACTGCTGCTCTTCATGCTGTAAAATAAGTAGAATGATAAAATATTGCAGTAAGTCAAAGATTATGGGTTCATATGACTGGTCATTAATATCAGCAGTTGATTTTTTTTTACTCCTCACCTGAGAACATTTTTGCATTTATCTTCAGATAGAGTGTAAAGGAGAGAGGGGGGAAGAGAAAGAGAAACATCGATATGAGAGACACACATTGAGTGGTTGCCACCCACACGGCCCCAACAGGGATGGGGACAAACTGCAAGTGAGGTACTTGCCCTTAGCAGGAACTGAACCAGGGACTCTGGTCTGCAGGCTGACACTCTAACCGCGAGCCAAACTGGCCAGGGCAGCAGTTGATTTTTAATCATCGTCATTCTAATCTTCAACAAACCAGTTAACAATTTTTCTGTTGTCTTTCATTTAACATGGCTATGCAGGTAAATTAAGACATTTTTATGAAGAGGAGAACTAAGTATATTCTTACTTGTGTGCAGTATTTTAGTTTGAATATGAACACTAATGAAATGGAACTATAATAGCAAAGACTTCATAAACTTGTCTGCAATATTTCAGGTTAACTATTGAACACTAGTGAATGAAAATGTAATGGAAAAGACTACTTCCTATAGACTTATCATAGTACCCAAAACAAGTGTGTGAAAAAGCTATTCTAACCTGGCAGAGTTGGCTTGGTTGAGCGTCATCCTATGCACCAAAAGGTTGCCAGTTTGATTCTCAGTCAGGGCAGATACCTGGGTTGTGGTGGGTTTGATTTCCAGTTGGGGCATGGGTAGAGGGCAACCAATTGATGTTTCTCTATTTCTCTATCAATTCAATGTCTCTCTCTCCCCCTTCACCCCTACCCACCCCACTCCTACCCCTCTTTCTCTCTCTCTCTAAGCATGTCCTCAGGTGAAGATTATAAAAAAGCTGTTCAAAGACAGAAAGGCTGAAAAAGGATTTGTAAAATACAGGAGTGGGCAAAAGTAGATTTTATAGTTGTGAGTATGTGAAACACAGAGTTCATTCTTGTATTACTATTTCTGAATTTTTGTATTATTTGTATTACAACTATAAACTTACTTTTGCCCATCCCTGTATTTCTAATGTAGTTAATTAAGTTTGGCCTGTTCACTTGTCCTTACCCAGCTATATCTTAACCCTTCTTCCCATGTCGGGCCTCTAAACCTGTGTTGCTTTATACATACTACTAATACAGTTATTACCACCTCATCCTTCTTGACCGTGGAATTCTTTTACTTGCTGATAATTTAGCAGCTCCTTCATTCAGCAAATATTTATTGAGGAGCTCTTATGTTCCAGGTACTGCTCTAGGCTCTTAGGACATTGGTGATCAAAGTGCAGAACTCACTGCCTATGTGGAATTGATTAGTGGATGTGGAAAGTGGCTGGGATATAGCCAGTGCACTTGTGACTATACCGCCAAGTGTTGTATCTTGTTGACACTGAGTAGTCACATACATTTATCATATAGTCCTTAGTTGTTCAAACACTTCCTAAAAGTTTGTACTTCTTTTATTCTAGATACAAACCACAATACTTCCGGATCTCATTATGAAAATTTGCCGTGGGGACCTGTGTCTTCTTCTAGCGACTCTAGCACAAACAGTAAGGATGCTGTTGTAAACAACTCCCCTGAAAAAGAAGCATGGCCCTTGGTCCCTGGCAGTGATCCAGAGTTGGCTTCAGAATGTATGGATGCTGATTCCACCTCCAGTTCCGAATCAGAAAGAAACATCACTATCATGGCTTCAGGGAGCACAAGTGGTGAAAAAGATGGCCTTCGGAACAGCACTGGACTTGGTTCCCAAAACAAGTTTGTGGTTGGCAGCGGCAGCAGCAATAGTGTGGGTCGTGGAAGTAGTACTGGGCCCTGGGGCTTCTCCCATGGAGCTGTAATAAGCACATGTCAGGTCTCTGTGGATGCTCCTGAAAGCAAGTCAGAAAGTAGCAACAATAGAATGAATGCTTGGGGCACTGTAAGCTCTTCATCAAATGGAGGGGTAAATCCAAGCACTTTGACTTCAGCTAGCAGCCCTGGTGCCTGGCCAGTATTAGAGAACAGCGGACTTGCCCTAAAAGGGCCTGTAGGGAGTGGTAGTCCTGGCATCAATATTCAGTGCAGTACCATAGGCCAGATGCCTAACAATCAGAGTATTAACTCTAAAGTGGGTGGTTCTTCTACCCACGGTACCTGGGGAAGCCTTCAGGAAACTTGTGAATCCGATGTAAGTGGTACACAGAAGATTTCATTCAGTGGTCAACCTCAGAATATCACCACTGAAATGACTGGACCAAATAACACTACTAACTTTATGACCTCTAGTTTACCAAACTCCAGTTCCGTACAAAATAATGAACTGCCTAGTAACACGGGGGCCTGGCGTGTGAGCACAATGAATCATCCTCAGATACAGGCTCCATCAGTTATGAATGGCACTTCCCTTCCTCACCTTAGCAATGGAGAGTCAAAAACTGCAGGCTCTTATGGTACTACCTGGGGTGCCTATGGTTCTAACTACTCTGGAGACAAATGTGCAAGCCCCGATGGCCAAGCTGATGGTGACACTGTGAACGCAACTCTGATGCAGCCTGGCATGAATGGGCCTGTGGGCACTAACTTTCCAGTTAACACAAATAAAGAAGGTGTGTGGGAGTCGGGGGCCACAAATCCCCAGAGTGCATCCTGGGGAAGTGGAAATGGTGCAAACTCGGGAGGAAGTCGAAGAGGATGGGGAACTCCTGCACAAAACACTGGCACTAATGTACCCAGCGTGGAGTGGAGTAAACTGCCTGGCAATCAGCATTCCAGCGACAGTGCAAATGGCAATGGGAAGAAGTTTACAAATGGATGGAATTCTACTGAGGAAGAGGATCAGGGTTCTGCCACATCTCAGACAAATGAGCAAAACAGTGTGTGGGCCAAAACAGGAGGTACAGTGGACAGTGAAGGTAGTACAGAAAGCACTGGACGCCTTGAGGAAAAAGTCACTGGGGAGATTCAGAGTAGAGATAGAAGAAAAATTGATCAGCACACATTACTCCAAAGCATTGTTAACAGAACTGACTTAGATCCACGTGTCCTATCGAATTCTGGTTGGGGACAAACTCCTATTAAGCAGAATACTGCCTGGGATACGGAGACATCACCTAGAGGGGAACGAAAGACTGACAATGGGACAGAGGCCTGGGGGAGCTCTGCAACACAGACTTTTAACTCAGGGGCATGTATAGACAAGACTAGCCCTAATAGTAATGATACCTCATCTGTATCGGGGTGGGGAGATCCCAAGCCTGCTCTGAGGTGGGGAGATTCCAAAGGCTCAAACTGCCAGGGGGGATGGGAAGATGATTCTGCTGCTACAGGAATGGTCAAGAGCAATCAGTGGGGGAATTGCAAAGAAGAGAAGTCCACATGGAATGATTCGCAAAAGAACAAACAGGGCTGGGGTGATGGACAAAAGTCAAACCAAGGGTGGTCTGTTTCTGCCAGTGATAACTGGGGAGACACGTCAAGGAGTAACCATTGGGGTGAGGCTAATAAGAAATCTAGCTCAGGAGGTAGTGACAGTGACAGGTCCGTTTCTGGTTGGAATGAACTTGGTAAAACTAGTTCTTTTACTTGGGGAAATAATATAAATCCAAATAATTCATCAGGATGGGATGACTCTTCTAAATCTAACTCTTCCCAAGGATGGGGAGATCCTCCAAAGTCGAGTCAGTCGCTGGGTTGGGGAGATTCAGCAAAGCCAGTCAGCTCTCCAGACTGGAACAAGCAACCAGATGTTGTTGGGTCTTGGGGAGTTTCTTCAGCTCCAGGCAAACCCTCTGGTACAGGCTGGTTGGGAGGACCTATTCCAGCCCCAACAAAAGAAGAAGAACCCACCGGCTGGGAGGAACCATCCCCAGAATCCATACGGCGCAAAATGGAAATTGATGATGGAACCTCAGCTTGGGGAGATCCCAGCAAATACAACTACAAGAATGTGAACATGTGGAACAAAAATGTTTCAAATGGCAGCAGCCGCTCTGACCAGCAAGCACAGGTGCACCAGCTGCTGCCGTCTGCAAGTGCCATCTCAACTCCAGAGGCAGGTGGTGGCTCCGGTGAGTTGTTAACTTTGTGGAGTCTGATAGTCTTAACAAGCACTTCATAGAACTGAGAGCCTGGTTTCAGTTTTCTTTATGATGAGATGTGTTTAAGGGAATATTTGGTATGCACACAGAGGCCTGTTTTACTCTAATCTAGGAGAAGCTTACAGGGAAGAAAATTATAGGTAAGGTGTTCATCAGGGGACACCTCTGCGTTGGGCAGTATTGGGTGTGAATGCTGTTCTCTTAGGAATGCTACAGAAGGCAGAATTGGAAAGGGTTTGTCAAGTGGGAATGCTCTGCACTGTTCTCAGGTCTTCTGAGTCAGACTGCACTTCCTGCTTTTATTATTTGACTAAAATGTTCTCAGAAATAAAACAAGTGTTAATGATAATACTCTAAATACTAGGTACTGTATTTGGCCTTAGCCGGGGTTATTTAAATAGGCATGAAATCCAAGTCTGTTAGATACAGCATATGTGTGTGCGTGCCTGTAACATTTGATAGTACATGCCCTCTTTCCCCTCATAACAAGGAACTGATTTCTGTCTCTGCAAATGATCTTGGCAGTGACATTTTCATTAAGTGTCACTGGAATGTGTTGTCTTAGTTAATTGGATGTGGCAATTGGAGTGTTTTCATGAACTAACCTTTTAGCACCTAATTTTTTTCCTGAGTATAGTTTAATTGTTAGAAGAAACAGCTGTGTATCTAAGGGGAAAGCTGTATTGGTTTTTTAAACATGTTTATGGCTTTGCCTTTCTTTGTTTTGGACAACTTACTAATACAAAAGTTTTAGGAAGCATTGTCCAACATATATAAACATAGGATGTGTTTTCCCAGAATGGTGGTGTTAAAAGGTTGCATATGTGGTAAAAATTCTGTACACTCACTGTTACCCAGCATGATCACCTGCTTTAATTCACTAGGTTTGGTTCAGACTGGCTTGACTTTCCAGGAATTAAATTTATCTTTAAAGGAAGATGACTTGCCATAATTAACGTTATTCCAAAGAATCTGCTCTACACCCAGAGGGCAGTTATGAAAGAAGAGGTGATAAGAATATTCACGCATTGCAGTTAAATTACAATAATGGGAAATGATTTGTCTTAACATAAAACAGATGCCATCTTTTTTGCCCATCACAGCATCACTATTTAATACATAGATGTGAAGTTCTTCATCTTTTGTTCCCTAAGTATTCCTTATTGCCTCTTGATTCCACTGTACCTCCCTACCATGTGCTGATGACTTCTTTTCCCACACTTTCTAAAGGCTGGGGTGAGCCCTGGGGGGAGCCTTCTACTCCAGCCACAACTGTGGATAATGGTACTTCAGCATGGGGTAAACCCATAGACAGTGGTCCCAGCTGGGGGGAACCCATTGCTGTGGCATCCAACACATCCACGTGGGGCTCCAGCTCTGTTGGTCCACAAGCGTTAAGCAAATCTGGTAAGTTGTTGATCATACCCGGTAGCTCTTTTATAGCAGTGGTGCTCTCTCATTGAATATAACTAATTGGATAATGTCTGTGTCATTGTTAAGGTAGCCATGTATCATCATGCTAGATGATACTATTTGGCTCTTTGCATTTGTAACTTGGTTTGATCTTTTATCTTTCTGAATTTTCCTGTCTTCTCATTTTCCTTAGAACTGAAACTATTAAAGATTTGCATATACTTCAAATCTAAATCATATTTTACGAAATTAGATGATCTGGAAATAGTCAAGCAGTTTTCAGGCTATCCACCATGAGAGACAGACTATAATAGTCACAGGACACGTACGCAAACTGTCTGGCTTAGGTTCCAGATGATTCCCTGAATGTTATACAGAAAATGAGCATATTTCAGGAAGGACCTGGTATTCATATGAACATTTACTGTCCAATAGCTTGTGTATGGGACACCCCATAGAAACTCCAAAGGCCAAGTGGGTAGATAGGGTACTTTCTGCATATGACTTGCAATACTTTTGGTCACTCCATGAAAATGAACTCTTCTGAATTTTATCCATCTTTGTTCTGTGCGTCACCATGCAGATTGTTAAGCTAGTACAAACAAGAATGCCATAATTGTCCCATGTTTAGGAACCTTCTGATTCGTAAAAGCATGAAAGTTTTGTTTGGAATTTTTAATAAATAAATTCTTGCTTAATGAAACTTTTAGCTCAGTATATGACATGCATTCCTGCTATGCAAATTTGGGAAGGGAGATAAAAGTGGATTTTTTTAGGTTGTTCCTGCCCCCTGCCCCTTTAATGTATGCACATCCTCTGGAAAGAATTGTTTTGTCAAAGTACATTTCTCTATTGCAAATCCACATCAGGGCCAAAATCTATGCAAGATGGCTGGTGTGGTGATGATATGCCATTGCCTGGAAATCGCCCCACTGGCTGGGAAGACGAAGAGGATGTGGAGATTGGAATGTGGAATAGTAATTCATCTCAAGAGCTTAACTCATCTTTAAATTGGCCACCATATACAAAGAAAATGTCATCGAAGGTAAACATTTCAAGGGCAATGCCCTTGAAACTTTAAATTCCAAAGGTAATTACCCACAGAAAATTAATGTTCTGTCTGCCCATTTATGGCAGTCAGTATAGTTCAGGCAGTCCCCAACTTAGGTATAGCCTCCTGTATGGGCAGCCACCCAGGAAAACATAAGATCTCAGGAACTTCCTTTCTCCCCACTGCTACAGCTTGGGATTTCCCTCCTCCTCCCTTTCCACCAGTGCTGCCTGGGACAACCCTTCACCCTGGGGTGGTGCCTGCAGTGGTGAGGAGGAAGAGAAGGGCAAATCTCCATGTTGACTCTTGCCATCGTACTGCCAGTTCATCTCCCATTCCACCTCCTCACCCGGAGTCCCATCCTCCCCGAACTCAGAATCCTCCTCCTGCTCATCCATCACTTTTGTCCCTTTCCCATCCCCAAAGGTCCTGTGACAAAAATCCCTAGGAATGAGCCAAGCTCAGTTTCACTTTTATATGTGGACAAATCTTACCCCTAGACCTGTACATCAGAATCATGTGGGATTTGTTAAAGGGACAGTTCCTATATCCCGGGCCTATTGGAGTTTCGGAATTAAACCATGTTCTTGTCCTAAACAAGCTTCCCAAGTTTGTGCTACAGAGCCAGGCTTGAGAAGTGCAGGTTCAGAGCTCTGGTTCTTAAGAGCTGTTGTTGGATGCTGGTGTCGGGTTCTCCTGGAGACCATTTTCAGAATCCCCCAGGTTGATTCTGATACATCCTCCCCACCCTGCTTGAAAACTGTTCCTTTTTGAGAGACCCTAGCAGTCAATTATCTTGTTGTATAACTAGTTGACTGCCAGGGCCTTTCTCTTCTAAACCTGGGATTCTAAGTCTAGGACCTGCCATTTTCATTTAAAAATGTTTTTAATTTGACTGAATTTGCCTATTGCCTCACCATATAGCTTATGAAGTGCTTTCCCATATTTTACATAATCATTTGATCTTCATAACCTTCTGAGATAGAATACTGATGAATTTGAGATTGCAAAAAGTGGTGACTTGCCCATAGTTGCATAACTAGTAAGTGACAGAGCAAGGACATAAGTTCAGGTCTTCCAATTCCAAACCCTGTGTTCTTCCCACTGGACCATGCTGTTTTGTGACTTTGTCTTTCCTTACAGGGTCTGAGTGGCAAAAAAAGGAGAAGGGAAAGGGTGTGTAGCCTTTTTACTCTTTCTCCTTTGTTTCTACTAGTAAAAATCTTTTAGAAAGCAACTGCAAACTTTTTATAGCCTCTGCTGTGAGCAGGTACTGTGCTTTGTGCTGGGGGTTCAAAACAAGATAGGAGCTGCACCTTGAAGGAGCTCAGAGTCTACATGGGTTATTAGGAGCACTCTAAGCAGTGTCATGCCTGGGGGTGGGACGTGTTAAGGAAAATAGTAGCCTGACATGACCAAAATGTAGAATTTCTGCAAAAAAATGAGGTCTGGCTCTGTAGTTAGACAAAGTATGGAGCCAATAAAATTGAATGGAGGATAGCATCAGTTTGATTTTAAATTTTAAGTTCTTTAGAGAACGTTAACCAATGGTAGATTGAAAGATAAATTAGAACAGAGGAAAGACCAGAGTTAGGGATCTGAATTGGGAAGCAAGAATGGATGCACAGTAGAAGGGACTGGTTTGAGAGACATTTGAAATAGAAGGATAGAAGGCCTTGGCCACCAGTTAGGCTGGGATGGCAGTAAAAGAGGAAAAGGAATCAAAGACAACTTCAGAGCCTCACAAAGGGTTAGGTGCTTGCTTCAGAGACCTGCCTCTAGCGGGGAAATTAAGCTGTCTTCTGTTTCACAGTCAGAAGGAACAGGCAGTAGCAGTGGGGAAGGGAGATAAAGGTAGCAGACTGAGAATGGTCCTGTGAACTTCACATAAGTTGGAGACGTTGGTCTCTGGCTTCCAGCCTCCCTGTCTACCACCCTGCTAATCATGGACCATTCATTCTCTCAGTTCATGTTCCAAAGCAGATTCTGTGTGGCCTATATCCCAACCAGCCTCAAAGCCAACACCAAGTAGGAGGAACCTCAGCTTTAGCTGCTGTTGGGCATAGGGTGTTCTTGGCAACACAAATTGAAATTTTAAAATACTTGACCATATGGAAACGTGGTATTTTTCATTATAGGGCTCATAGCATAACTAAATGATGGCTTAAGCTGGTTTCTTCGGACTAACCTGAGAACCTAATAACTGTTTTTACTTTGGTTTGGTGTTAGAATTCTACAAATCCAGATTATAATTTATCCTTCAGGACTCAGTTCATTTGTAAATTGGAAACTGTCTGGTGAACAGTTCTCTATTCAGAGGACCTTTTTTTTGGTTGACTGAGGCCCTATGCTTCTGTCTTTTCCTTCTGACTGTTTGCTGTTAGAGATTTCTCTGTACATCACAGCTATACCAGAGGACTGGAGCAAAGGAAGTTGAAAATCAAATAAGTTGATTTAAAATTTTAACAACTCTGTCAAGAGTTGATTGGTGGAGAAATTGGCTAAAAATGAGAGTTGAGAATTGTCTTGAAGTGTACTAATCCATCACTGTACCCAGATAAATAGAAATGGCCATGGCATCTCTCTGCTCTTATTTTACCAAGGGAATGATGAAGGGTGGAAGCAAACAAGAAGAAGCGTGGATAAACCCATTTGTTAAACAGTTTTCAAATATCAGTTTTTCGGTAAGTGTGTTGTTTTCTTAAATTGTTTATCTTTGCGTTCTTATGAATAATAAGCTTGAGGTTAGAGTAAAATTGGCCACGAAGCCTTTATTTTTATTGTTTGAGCTAATAAACTAGTCACGTCTTATTTAAAAAGGATTTTTTATTAGGCAGTGAAAACTGAAGTTTTATGATCCACTTGAATTTCACAAATAATGAAATAAAATAAAATTCTTTTTTTTGTATTTATTTTCATTGATAAATTAAGGTCTGCTAACATGCTGCTTTTTCTTAACTTCAGAGAGACTCACCAGAAGAAAATGTGCAGAGCAATAAGATGGACCTTCCTGGAGGTAAGAAAATAATTAAATTAGTTTGAGTTTATATTCATCCTTGATGGACAGACATGTCTGTGGCATGATCCTAGCTAAAAGAGCACTGATTTAGGCCATGAGAGAGGAAACCAGGTTCTTGTTGCAGAGTTGATGTGCGTATAAATATATACAATTTATTTTTTTAATCCTCACCTGAGGATATGTCCATTGATTTTTTTTTTTTTTTTTTTAAAGAAAGGAAAGGCCCTGGCCAGTTTGGTTCAGCAGTCAGAGTGTTGGCCTGCGGACTAGAGAATCCCAGGTTCGGTTCCCACTGAGGGCATGTACCTCGGTTGCAGTTCATCCCCAGCCCTGGTTGGGGTTGTGCAGGTGGCAGCCGGTCAATGTGTTTTTCTCACATTGATGTTTCTCTCTCTGTCTTCCTCCTCCTCTCCCTCCCGCTCTATCTGAATATAAATGCAAAAATGTACTCGGGTGAAGATTAAAAAAAGAGGGGGAGAGAGAGAAAGGTCTATGAAAGAGAGACACATCAATCAGTTGCCTCCAGTACATGTCCCACTGACCGGAAATCGAATCCACAACCTTTTTGGTGTATGGGACGATACTCCAACCGACTGAGCCACCTAGCTGAGGTGAATTGATGTACCTTTAAAATACGAATCACTGTGAAGCTGAGGTATATAGTTCATGACATTAGTCTGAAGTATGGGATTAAAGAGTTTTAAACGAGAATGGCATGATTTGGTTTTAGAGAAATAATCTTGACTGTAGACTTACGATATCTTGGGACAGAAAACATTGGCTGCAGAGGACAGACAGAAGGCACTAAACAAAGTGAGTGCAGCTAGAGATCTGTTACAGCGGCCAAGGAGTAGCTTCTAAGCCTCAAGCTAAGATAGCAGGTGTGAAGAGTCTAACTCACTGGAGGTGTGGGAATTAGAATCAGTGAGGGTGTAGCCGATTTGTTGTGGAGGGTGAGGGAGTGGGTTTGATAAAAAGCAATCCCCAGTGTTCTTGCCTGAGCAGTTTAGCAATGGTTTTATTTAGTCTGATTCTAGGCAGGAGAGAGAAACTATGCAGTAATTTGAATAGGTGAAGTTTAATGTAAATATAAAAAATTAATATTAGAGTAATGATGGTTTGGCCAGTCAGAGGTAGAGAAAGAGTATGTGAATATTCTACAGAATATAGGAAGAGCATACATAAGGAGAAGTAACTAATTTTAGGCCTGAGATAGCATGTCCAACGAAGGGCCCCTTCCCCCACCCTACCTTGCCCCGGGACTGTGATCTAGACTCTTGGACATGGCCTTGGTTCAATGCATGGCAGAGAAGTCACTGAGGTGTCACCACCATGGGATTATAGGAACGGGGGGGTGTCTCTCTAGAGGTGCTCTGATACAAAACTGCTTGAGGCTGCTGGTGGGAGCTGCTGGCTGCAGTGAGTGAGCAGGGCCCGCCCAGTGCTGGAGCACTGCCTGTGCTATGGGAGGGCCCGGGGCCAGACACAGCCTTTCTCCCCAGTGTCTCCTGGACCCTCTGCCGGCAGCGTCCGTGCCCTGACAAAGGAGACCTGCGTAAAGTACTTCAGGGAACTGACGCATTTCTAAAATGTACCTATTCTAAGGATTTGTTAAAAGTTTTCTTCTGGTCTGGCCGGTGTGATTCAGTAGTTGAGTGTGGACCCATGCACCAAGAGGTTGCCAGTTCGATTCCTGGTCAGGGCACATGCCCAGGTTGTGGGCCCGATCCCCATTGGGGGGCATGCGGGAGGTGGCCAGTCGATGTTCTCTCTCATCAATGTTTCTCTTTTTTCCTCTCTTTAAAAAAGTCAGTAAAGAAAAATAATATTTAAAAAAAGTTTTCTTCTGCCCTGGCCAGTGTTGCTCAGTGGTTAGTGCATAGGTGCGAGGACCAAAGGGTTGCAGATTCGATTCCCAGTCGAGCACATGTATATGGATTGCAGGTTCAATCCCTGGCCCTGGTCAGGGTGGGTGTGGTAGGCAACCAATTGATGTGTGTCTCTCTCTCTTCCTGTCTCTCACACTCCCCCCTTCCACTCACTCTGAAAATCAATGGAAAAAATATCCTTGGGTGAGGATTAAAAAAAAAGTTGTTTTCCACTTGCCTGGAATGAGGGCAGAAAGTATTGTGTTGATGGTGGTGGTAGTAATAGACATCTCAGAGGACAGGAATTGCAAAGAAATGATGGGTGAGATTGGAGGATGGAGAAAAAATTTGGAGGATGAGGGCCAGGGAGATTGAGAAAGAGATTTCAAGTCTATATGACTGGTCCCATGAAGGAAGATCTAGGGAAATGTGCTTGGTGTCACCTGTTAAAGTGACAATAGGATGTTCGAATAGCTATGCTTATTAGCAGGCAGTTAAAGAGTGGGACTAAGTTCAGGAGTGAAGTCAAAGTGGACATTTACATTTGAAGAGCACGTGAATGGGGGTGACTGTCAACACGTTGGTCGCAAATAAGTCTAAGGGAAGCATGTTTTTAGAGAGAGTGTACTCTGTCTCTGCTTTGACTGAGGCGGCCTTGGTATTTCCCAACATTGAAGAAGCACACGGAAGTGGGCTCAACTGTGGAGAGAAGGGGAGAAACCAGGATGGGTATTTGGTAAGGCTGTGGAGACAGAGAGCAGTGTCCACGTTTAAATGATTTGTTGAAGTAGGATGGTAGCTGAAGGGCTGGCTGTTTCAAGCAAAGGTGATTTTGCAGGATGGGAGTTTCCATGAGAAGAGATCATTATTTGTTGCAGAGGAATCAGAATAAGGAGATTAATGGACAGAACAAGACGTATTTGGCCTCCAGCCTCCCCATCGGCTGTCAGGGGTGATAATAGTTGCAGGCACTCAATTGGAAGGCACAAAGCATATAGAAGAGTGTCTGGTAGTTTGTCATGCTGCTGTTTTTATTTTTTGTTGGAAACTGTGTTTATTATAAAATTAACCAGACTAGAGATGACCAAAGATGTCTTAACCTTCTGTTTACTGGTCTGTTTTCAAGTTAATTGGCTCAGTAAAATAACATTATTTGCCAAACCCAGCTTTGCTTGTGAGGAATGCAGGACTGACTAAAGACCCCAGTGCGTTTCTCACATCCTTGTCCAGGCAGAAGGCAGGTCAGTCTGGGAAGGGAATATTTTGCTTTCTACTGCAAATTTATCTGAAACCAAATAGGTCAATTGTCTTCCTACTGGATAACATAGTTTCCTGCATTTGTTAGGAATGTTACAAGACAAACGAATGGAGATAGATAAACATAGCCTAAATATTGGTGATTACAATCGAACGGTCGGGAAAGGCCCTGGTTCTCGGCCTCAGATTTCCAAAGAGTCTTCCATGGAGCGCAATCCTTATTTTGATAAGGTAAGTTGTCTATTTTACTCCTGTGGCTAATAAACCAATATAGTTAATAGCACAGTTTTGTCATTAATATTTCAGAACATTTAATGTTATATACAATGTTATAATCCAGTTCCAAATCCTCTTACTGGATTTGTTTGTAGTTCATTGTCCTTTCTATGTCTCAGTTTATCTAGGGATTGCATTTATATTTTCTTCTTAATCCCATAAAATATGTTTGGTTCTTTTTATGTGCTCTAGAATTAACACTAATCTGATCTCTTCTGTTTTCTGCCTGTTTCCTGTTGATGCTGGAATGTCATGTGACTTCTGTTCCTGCAATGATTTCTCCCTTCCACTTGTTTGCTTGGCTGGTGTTGCGCATCTTTCTGTCTGTCCAATCAGGATGGCATTGTAGCAGATGAATCCCAAAACTTGCAGTTTATGTCCAGTCAGAGCATGAAGCTCCCCCCTTCAAATAGTGCACTACCTAACCAGGCCCTCGGCTCCATAGCAGGGCTGGGTATGCAAAACTTGAATTCTGTTAGACAGGTAAGTCCATGTGTGTATTTTAGGCTCTCTGTTGAATGATTGTAGAAGCAATAAGCTCTCTCTTACATGTAGTTACTGTATTTAAATCAGTAGTACAGTGTGGTAATGAACTGTTGGTCCTGAAGAACACCTGGCTGTTTGTTTTTGTAGAATGGCAATCCCAGTATGTTTGGTGTTGGAAACACAGCAGCACAACCCCGGGGCCTGCAGCAGCCTCCAGCACAACCTCTCAGTTCATCTCAGCCTAATCTCCGTGCTCAAGTGCCTCCTCCATTACTCTCCCCTCAGGTGACTATGTTTCTATGATACTCCCTTCTGTTAACCTGGAAAAGAACCTTGAGTAATTTTATATTTAAATGAGGTGACTGGTTGGTCATCGTAATTTCTATTGGTATCTTTGAAATGCATCTAATTTAGAATTAATTGATAAGACAAAAGGTTGTAGGGAGGGTGAAAAAATAAGTCAAAGGTAATTTAAAAGTTACCATTATTTTTTATAAACCATTTGAGGGAAGACTATAGCAAAGGACATTTGCTAATTTAAGATTCATTTCTCTTGCCCTGGCTGGTTTTGCTCAGCGGTTAGAGCATCGGCCCAAGGACCAGAGTCTCGGGTTCCATTCCAATCAAGGGCATGTACTTTGGTTGCCCTTGACCGGTTCGGTCCCTGGCTCTTGTCGGGGTCATGTGGGAGGCAGTCAGTTGATGTGTCTCTTTTGCATCGATGTTTCTCTTTCCCTTCCACTCTGAAAATAAATGGAAAGTTATCCTCGGGTGAGGATTAAAAAGAAAAAAACAGAGTTTCATCTCTCATCTTTTACTTAACTCATGAAAGTATATGTGAATAGTAAGTTAGTAAAATGAAGAAACCAGTTAGGAGGTACATAATCCCCCAAATAATAGTCCACAAATTTAATTGCTCTACTGATCATTTAAAGTACACAGTACACGTAGCTATTTGACTCTCTTTATCCCATTATTAACTTACGGTTGTGGTCCTCAGGTTCCAGTTTCATTGCTGAAGTATGCACCAAACAATGGTGGCCTGAATCCGCTCTTTGGCCCTCAACAGGTAGCCATGCTGAACCAGCTCTCCCAACTAAACCAGCTTTCTCAGATCTCCCAGTTACAGGTATGTAGAGTAACAGCCTCTCATTCAGTGTACATTTAGCGAGTGTCCACTGTGTGCTAGAAGTATTGCAGTAAACACACCAGGCATTCATGATCCTCACGGAGCTTCTAATCTATCAGTGAAGAAGGTGGTGAAACCAAAGAGCAGGATGCTATGAGCAAGCCCAGCCAAGTCTGGGGTGGCGGTAGGGGTAGGATGATCAGGAAAACTCCCCTGTTGAAGTGGAGGTTTAGACTGAACAGAGGCCTGAATTAACAGACCAGCAGGAGGCAAGAGTCCAGGAAGAGATTGTGTTGGATTAGGCAGGACGTGTTGGTGTTGACCAGATGAATCCATGCCCACCTGCCACAGTCACTCTGAAGCTTGCTAATCTGCGACGGCATGACACTGACAATCTCTCTGCAATCTTCCCTGCAGCGGTTGTTAGCACAGCAGCAAAGGACGCAGAGTCAGAGAAGCGTGCCTTCTGGGAACCGGCAGCAGCAAGACCAGCAGGTAGATCAGAGCCTTCCCCTCTCTGTGCTGTTCCCTTGTGAGAGTGACACTGGTTCTTAGCTGTTCCCTCTTCTAGGCTTATCCTGTGTCTCCATGTTCCATTGTAACGAAACTCGAAATGCCTTCATGAAAACATAATGAAATAGGTTGTTTATTAAGTCCTCTGTTTGCCCAGAGTTATATCAACTGGTACATGGTAACTGTTCAACTTCCTAAGGAGAGAGACGTGAATGAAAACACGAAGAGGAATATGTGGGTATCTGGAAAGACTCTTCTCTACAGCTTTTCCCAATCATTTTGTCGTTTTAAGAGTCGACCTCTTAGTGTGCAGCAGCAAATGATGCAACAGTCTCGTCAGCTTGATCCAAACCTGTTGGTGAAACAGCAGACGCCGCCATCTCAGCAGCAGTCACTCCATCAGCCAGCCATGAAATCTTTCCTTGAAAATGTCTTGCCCCACACCACACCTGAGCTGCAAAAAGGGCCATCACCAATCAATGCTTTCAGCAACTTCCCTATAGGTAGGTTTCTCCTTGGCCAAACGGTCAGCTGATGTGTGGGATCTTTCTGACCTGGCAGGACTTTTCCCTTGTGAGAGTAACACTGGTCCTTAGCTGTTCCCTCTTCTAGGCTTATCCTGTCTCCATGTTCCAGGGAGTATGCTTCATGCTCTCTAGGCAAGAAAACCACATTATTCCAAAAATTCCACACATACTCGAGGGTCAGTTATTGTTATCAAAAGCCATACACCAGAGAGATTGTGAGCAGTGCTGCTTTGGCGAAACAGCTCAGAACAGGAGCATTGTAGTTTTCAGAACCTGGAAATTTGATTGTATAAATATTTGTAAATGATTGCTGGGATAAATGTAGAAAACAGAGGAGCTATAGCTTCCCCCTTCCCTTTTTTTCATTGTCTCCAGACTTTTACTCCCTGTGGAAATTTCAGGCTTGTACACTGGAGGAATAGGTCTGTTTTCTGACCACAGTACGGAAGATAGACATGTTCTGTCCTCCCATGAGGCTGTCTGACATGTCATTGTCTGAATTGGATAAATTGTACCTTAGGGTATGGGGGTCTGGCCCTGAGGTACAGTTGTTAGAGCAGGACAGTTTTACTTCAATTTTTTAAATATGTTTTTACCGATTTTACTTATTTATTTTTTTTAGAGGGAGAGAGAGATAGAAACATCGATGTGAGAGAACATTGATTGGCTGCCTCTTGCACGCCTTCTACTGGGAATCGAGCCTGCAACCCTGGGCACATGCCCTGACTGGGAATTGAACTGGGACCTTCCAGTCCATGGGATGATGCTCAATCGACTAAGCCACACCGGCTGGGCCAGTTTTACTTTTAAATGACAGTCTTCTTTGGCTGGTCAGCCAGTTGAAAATTGTTCAGTTTGCAAGTAAAGGATAGCAGCTGAAAGTGATCATATCTGATTCTTTATGCATGGTACTCTTGGGAAGTAGCTAGAGAGAGAGATCTTATTAGAGATAAACATTAATATTTTGCCACCTCAAATTTTTCTCTTATTTTACCAAGGAATTTAAAAATAATCAAAATTATGTAGAGAAATAGTTTCCCACAGATAACACAGTTTTATAGTAGTAACAGTTTTATGGTTTGAAAACACTGTATTAGTGAGTATCAGACCAGCTACTTAGGATTTCTGGCCCTGGCCGGTTTGGTTCAGCGGTTGGAGTGTCGGCCTGCGGTCCTGAGAGACCTGGGTTTGGTTCCCGCTAAGGGCACGTACCTCGGTTGCAGTTTGTCCCTGGCCCTGGTTGGTTGTGCGGGTGGCGGCCACGCGATGTGTTCCTTTCACGTCGATGTTTCTCTCTTTCTCTCTCTCTCTCTCTCCCTCCCTCCCTCCCTCCCTCCCACTCTACCTGAACAAAAAATGGAAAAATGTCCTCGGGTGAGGATAAAAAAAAAAAAGGATTTCTGTGTTGCGCGCTCTGGTAACCTGGCTGTGGCTCTTTCTCCCCACACTTTTCTGCATGACATTGGCCAGGAGCAGAGTGTGTTCCGCCTGCCCAGCCTTCCTTCGTATGCAATCACGTGACTGCGCTGCAGTTGCAGGACGGCCTTGACTAAGGAACTTGGGCAGGATGGAAAACACTAGATTAGTTATTTAAATGTTTTTCTAGGAAGTGGAAGTTGATTCAGACATGCTGTATCTTAAGAAGTTTTTTTTTAATTATTTATTTTTAAGGCTTGAACTCAAACTTGAATGTAAATATGGATATGAACAGTATTAAAGAGCCACAGTCAAGACTAAGGAAGTGGACTACAGTGGACAGCATTTCTGTGAACACATCTTTGGATCAAAACTCCAGCAAACATGGTATAAAATGCATTCTTATCTTAAACTCGAAAATATGGAATACTAAATTTAGGCCTTTATTTTAAATATATATTTTAAAAAGCCCAATTCTCTTAGAGCCTTTTCTCATTACTAAAAGTGCTTTATTAGTTAGTAAATTTTAGTTAAAAACAGAATTTTTATTATGTTATTGTACAAAATAGAGATCAGAATATACCTTTACAAAATTACTTCCTTTTTGTTGGTCTTTTAGGTTTTTGCAATTGATTTTATTATTCTGATGTTCTTCTTGTTAACATTTACACCATTTAATGTGATGTAGGGTATTAAGCATTTCCACCATAATTTAATTTCTATCAGTTTCTTACACATTGACACATTTTCTTTATATATTTTGTTGATTTGTATAAATCACAGATTCACTATTCTTTTCACCAGTTAATTACATTTATTTTATTTAATATCCATTCATCTAGCCACTGTTAATGAATATCTTCTGCTTTCCCAGGATAGTTCTAAGTACCTGAATATGCGTAGGTACATATGTACAGACACACAACTGAGTATATGTAAGCAGGTGAAAAAGTCAATATGTGTAATAGTGCAAATAGTACAATAACGCAAAGCCCACCGGAGGATTAAGTAGGGAATGACAGTGATGGGTGTGGCTTTAGAGAGACTCATCATGAGTGGAACCTGCACATTCACCAAATGAGTAAGAGTGAGAACAGTACAGAGTACAGTGCAAAGGTCAAAGACAGGGCAGCCTGATGAGCACTATGTGTGGGCATGTCTAGAGGTGAAGGTCAGTGAGAGCAGGAAGATGAAGCTAGACTAATAGTGGGTATAGAACAAGTAATGGACAACTTTTATATCATAGGTCATTTTAAATATGCAAATGATAGCTATCTAGGGGCACGTAAGACGTCTGTGTGAGAGGCAGAGGGCGATGGGCACAAAGGAATGTGTCGAAGAAAGTGTTAGAACTCGGGACTAATGAAACTCCTGCAAACGAAATGTACATGTCTTGCCCCCTTCTGTTTAATGCCCGCATCTTTAGACGCAGCTCAAAAGTCATTTCTAGGAAGCTTCCTCCAGGCTCCGTGCTCCTTCTGTATCTCTATCTTGTGTAAGTGTCCATGTAGGCCTCTTTCCTTCACAGGACACAGACTCCTGGAGAGAGGGCTCAGGCTGTGCTTACTCTGGGGCCCCACTGAGCACAGCGCAGCAGTCAGTGAGCATTTGCTGGGTGAGAGGACGAGTGAGTGGTAACGCAGAAAAGGAATCAGGCTTGGTGCCCTGGCCGGTTTGGCTCAGCGGTTAGAGCGTCAGCCTGCGGTCCATAGGAATCAGGCTTGGTGCGAGAGATAATTAATATTAGACTTGTTGAGTGTGATGTTTAGGGGGCTGGCTCAGTGTGGAAAAGACCAGTAAGAAATGAGAAGTAGAGGCCTAGTACGCAAAAGGAAAAATCTGGGCTAAAGTAAGATTTGGTGTTCATCAGAATATTGAGGTCATGGCCCAACAGAGGGAGCATGGAAAAAAGAACCAGAACAAAAGCCTAGAGCTGCTAGTAGTGAGGAAACCCGAGAAACAGTGGCTGGGGAGACAGGACAGTAGACCAGAAATGTGTCTGCCACACGGTTTTCTGTCCCTCAGGTTAAAATAAATTTTCTATGTCTGTTTTGCATATCTGAGCCTCAGCTTCTTTGTAAAACTGAAGTAATCTCTTTCTTTAACTGCTGTTGTAGGATTTGTGTATATCATCTACTTCTGACCTTTGAACAACATTGGGGTTGGGGCACTGATCCTCGTGCAGTCGAAAATTCTCCTTTGAGTTCCCCAAAACTTAACTACTAGGTTACTGTTGACTGGAAGCCTTACTGATAATACAATTAATTAATACATATTTTGTGTGTTACATGTATTATGTACCGCTTTCTTACATTAGAGTAGGCTAGAGAAAAGGAAATGTCATTAATACAATCGTAAGGAAGAGAAAATATATGTTACAGTATTTTTTTTTTTTTTTTTATCCTCACCTGAGGATATTTTTCCATTTTTTGTTCAGGTAGAGTGGGAGGGGGAGAGAGGAAGAGAGAGAGAAACATCGACATGAAGGGACACATCGAGTGGCTGCCACCCGCACGACCAACCAGGGCCGGGGACAAACTGCAGCCGAGGTACATGCCCTTAGCGGGAACCGAACCCGGGTCTCTCTGTACCGCAGGCCGACGCTCTAACCGCTGAGCCAAACCGGCCAGGGCTATTTTACAGTATTAATTGGGGAGGGTGGATCCCTATATAAGTGGATTCACACAGTTCAGACCCATGTTGCTTCAGGGTTTGCTGTTTTGTCCATGCTCAGTACACTTACCAGGGCAGCCTTCGTTCTTGTTACTGGCTTCACTGCTGTCTCAGGAGATGCCTGCCTCTGGCACAGCTGTGTCTCCAGTGCAAACACAGCTGTTTGCTTAAGCTAAACCTACTGCATAAGTTTTACATTTTGTTTTTCTGGTGTTCTTCCATTCAGTGATTAGTAGGATATAGTTGGATACTTTTTATATCAAGCCCATTTTCTTTTTTAATAAAATGAAGTTTTAATAAGTAGAAATTGTTTATTACTAAAAATGGAATATTTTTATCATCTCGGGTTCCTGTATAAGAGTTGATCAGTCCTGCCGGTTTGGCTCAGAGTGTCGGCCTGTGGTCCAGAGAGACCCGGGTTCAGTTCCCACTAAGGGCACGTGCCTCGGTTGCCCTGGTTGGGTCGTGCAGGAGGCAGTCACTTGATGTGTCCCTTTCACGTCAATGTTTCTCTTTCTCTCTTCCTTTCTCTCCTTCCCACTCTATCTGACCAGAAGATGGAAGAATGTTCTCAGGTGAGGATTAAAAAAAAAAAAAAGAGTTGATCACTTGAGCTCTGGCCGGTAGTTCAGTGGTTAGAGCATCAGCCCTTGGACCAAAGGGTTGCAAGTTTGGTTCCCAGTCAAGGGCACATACCTGGGTTGCAGGTTCAATATCTGGTCCTGGTCATTGTGCAGGAGGCAGTCAGTTGATGTGTCTTTCTCATATGGATGTTTCTCTTTCTCTCCCCTCCCTCCTTCCCTCCCTCCCTCCCACTCAATCTAAAAAAAATCAATGCAAAAAAAGCCCCAGGTGAGGATTAACCCAAAAAATGAATTAATCACTTGAAATTTGGCAACTGTGCTTTGTATTACTTACACCTACTGCTTTATTTATATCCTACTTCACTCTCAAGTGGCTTTAATTCTACTTACAAAGAAGAAACATGGTTCACTCAGATAAAAGCAGAGGGTGAGGAAGCCAGAGAAGAGGGGAGAGGGAATCATGGGATGACTGCATCAGGTCAGGTGCAGGACGGTGCCTGCTGGCGAGGGCATGAGGGCCTGTTGAGGTTGTGACCCGCCTCCAAGGAAACTTGTGTATCACCAGAAACTCGAGCTAGAACAGCCTTGAGTCCACGAACCCGAGCTTTTCCCACCTGTGTGAACTCGAGGCCCGGGTCCAGGTACTGGTCCTCCTTTTCTCCCTTGCTCCTCCTGTTGCCATCAGTTGTGCCTCCTTCAGGTGGTTGAAGCCGGAAACTCAGAGACTTCCTCCTTTCAATAAAGGTTTATTGAGATAATTTACATGTAATGCAGCTTTTTAAAAAGTGTATGATTCAGTGGACATTCTCAGAGTTACTTATCCATCACCACAATCAATTTTTGAACGTTTTCTTGACCCCAGAAGAGCCCTCAGATATCACTCCTCCCACTTTCCTTCTCTCCCAGTCGTACATAAAAGCTCATCTGGCTGTGTCCGGCAGCTTTGTCCATCCTGGATATTTTATGTAAGTGGCAGCAGGTACTGTCTGGTCTTTGTGACCAGCATTTTGGCTCAGCATAGTGTTTTCCTGGTCTGTTCATGTTGTAGCATGCAGAAGTACTTCATTCCTTTTTACTTCATTCAGCATTCATTGGCTGTTTAGGTCTAGAGATATTCTTGAATTCTTCTTTGCTCTCACCTCCATACCCAGCCCACCTGTGACTAGTGCCCTCTCCACCTCCCAGATGCCTGGCACATGCGTCCATTTTGCTTCACTGTCTCACCACCTGCTGATGTCTGCCTGCTCCCGTGCTCACCTGCCTCCCAGTTTTCACCCCACAGCACTGTGGTCTCAAAACAAAGCTGGTGGTATCACTTCTCCAAAAACCCTTCAATGTAAAAAGTCTTCCTTGCTGAGTTCTACAGAGTCCTATGTGAGGGTGTTTAGTCTGGTGCCTTCTGGGAAGAGGCCGGTCTGCAGCAGTGAGGCCTGGGGCAGGTCCAGTGTGCATACCCCCTGCGACCTTCATTCAGTTCCAGGTGTTTAGAACAAGACATGCCTGGTCATCCCTCTCTTCAGGATCAGGACGCCATCTTCTTCTTGTTCACAAAATAGTCTTTCAGTTCCTTAGACGTGTTGAGCTGTTTCTCTCCTCAGGTCCTTGGAGGCTGTACCTGCACCTAGAATCCCGCCTCAACCCTTTGCACAAGAGCTCGGCTCCTCCTTGCCTTATGCCCTGTCCCTTCCGTCACTGTCCATTTGCTCACCTTTTTGTTAGAGTATACTGTCATCAGAGCAAGGACCCCGTTCCTCTTGCTCAGTTCTCTGGTCCAGCATTTAGCACAGTGCCAGGCCTGTCCCAATGAGGAAGTGTTGTGTTTGCCACTTGTGTGAAGCATCAGTCACTCTAAGATGCACTCAGAGATGGGTATAGAGAATAAATCTCAACACGGATGATCATTTCTAAGTGTAAGCGGTGTTTTTATGGGATTTTGCACTCATTTTGGTAACCTATCTTTTGTACCAATGCTGTGTAGTCCCCCAGGTGTGGAGTATAGGGTAGAAATGTAAATGTCCTGATGGGAAAGATCTTCCCTGTGTCTTTACCCACATAAACATATCTTGGGGTCCCAGGCACTGCTTTTTGCCACTCGGGTTGTTCTCAACCATAGCTCTTTCTTCCCCCCAGTGCCCCTCATTCACCCCCAACATGAATCACCACAAAGGGTGCACTGTGCTTGTTCCCCGTGTAGGCCACGATACAACTGTCTTCATGATTTGGAAGTAATTTTGTACTTATTCTGACCACTTAACATCTTCCTTGAAGTGAAGTGACTGTATAATATCAGGTGTCCACTACGGAGAGGCCGGTGTGCAGGTCTCAGGAGCGAGCCGGCCTCTTTCTTCTGCGTCTTCACACAGCCACAGAGACAGTAAAAAGGGTCATGGTCATTTTTCTCCTTCAGGTGCTATTTCAAGTGGTTTCAGGCTGGAAGAGTCTCCGTTTGTTTCCTATGACTTCATGAACAGCAGTACTTCACCTGCCAGCCCTCCAGGTTCAGTAGGAGACGGCTGGCCACGTGCCAAATCGCCCAATGGCTCTAGCAGTGTTAATTGGCCACCAGGTAAGATGCCAGCAGCTTCTGACTTAGTGATGATTTAGCCCGGTTCTGTCTGATTGGACTGACTGTACTCAGGATAAGCAGGAATGCAGAGAGATGATGAAGTTGGGCATCAGGTCCGTCCTGTTACCTTTACGCTCTGAGCAGTGAAAGTGGGACTGGCATGAAGAATGATGTAAAAACCTTCATTTGTGTTCCTTCTTCACCTGTGCCAGGGAACCACCTTGACTACGTCTCAGTTGTGCTGCAGGTAGCAGAGACGCTCCCAAGGCCTGCATTGTCTACTCGAGTTGCTATGGCTTTGTAACTTGTAATAAAGAACTATGGGATGTTACTATATAAAATACGTAAACCCAGAGCATTGATTTCTGTTGTAAAAACTTGCAAGTTATTCATAAATAACAGTTTACATTATATTCCCTTTATTACTGAATCAAACCATTTGAATAAATATAAATATAGGAGTAAAGGTTTTACATATTTAATATGGATTTTAAAACAGTGATTAAGCCGAACTAATTTAAAGTCTTCATTTCCAGAATTTCGTCCTGGTGAACCATGGAAAGGTTATCCAAACATCGACCCAGAAACTGACCCTTACGTCACTCCTGGCAGTGTCATAAACAGTCTTTCAGTTAATACTGTGCGGGAAGCTGACCACCTCAGGGACAGGAACAGTGGTATGTAGGCGGGCACATTTTGTTTCTGGACAGCATGGTTTGAGAATGCCTCAAAGGCCCTGGCCTGCGTTGTCCAGTGGTTAGAGCACCTGTGCTCTGAAGGGTCGTAGGTTCGATTCCTGGTCAGGGGCATGTACCTGGGTTGCAGGTTCAATCCCCAGCCCTGGTGGGGGCATGTGTGGAAGGCAACCAATTGATGTCTCTCACTCTTCCCCCTCTATCTCCCCACCCCCCCACCCCCCCAAAGATCAATGGGAAAAAAATATCCTCGGGTGAGGATTAAAGAAAAGAATGGCTCAAAGTAGGTGTGAGACCTTCAGCAGCAAAGGTCACTTCAGCACTTCACCGCACCCAACACCCAGGACACTGTGACAGAGTAGGCTGGTCCCTCCTCCCCTAGGCAGCCCCTAGTCACTGTACATGGTGAGGATTTATCATCACTTGATATGCTAAACACCCATATTGGCTTAAGTTGACAAAGTTAACAAAGGACCAACAAATACTTGTTTTTCAGTAACTATATTACTGCAGGTGTTGCCTACTTAGTAATATTGTGGTTATTAAGAAATGGGTGCTTTTTGTAAAGGATGTTTTGTTGTTATTTGTTTATATACTCTGGATATTAAAAGGATTTTCATCTGGAGAAGAAATTGGCTTTCTGTGTCTCAGAGTGAAAATAATACCAGTTTGAAGGGTCCCATAGTCTAGATGAACTTTTTAATGGGCATCAAATAAAACCATTCTCCAGCATCCGTGTGACTGTGTCACTGTGGCATTGGCAGGTGTTCCACGTGTGCCCTGGGGAAAGGAGGGTGGGTGAGGGAGAGTCTTCTCTGTTATAACATCTGTCCTTCCATCTCTCCCCTTAAACAGTGTATAACAGAGAATGTGCACCAGTCTGCATCTTACATTAACTGTGTAACTGGTGAGCATGTGTTTGCCATGTCACAGTGGTAAGAAAGAGTTGTCATTAGTCTAGCACAGCTGGATTTAGCAAACAGCTTTGTAGAAGTAATTCAAGCCATTACTTTAACAGGAGAAAGGTGTTGAGGGTCAGAGCCTCACAGATGTTCTCATGTCCTGGTAGTACATGAAAGACTGGTGCTCGCAGAAATGAGCACTTCTTGTCTGGGGACAGTTCTGACAGGAGAGGAATTTAGGTTTGATACTAAGAGAAACAAATCACTGAAGGTTTTGAGTGGAAGAATCGACATTTGAGGTGAGTATTCTGGTGAACAGGTGGGTTGGAGTGGGAGAACAGTTAGGAGCTGTTGGGGAGTGACCAGATAGTGGTCAGGTCTGGAGCTGAAATAGAGAAAACAGGGACATGGTGGGTTTTGGAGATGGAATGTGAGGCAAGGTGAAGGAGGTCAGGCCTGGCTAGGCGCAGTGCCTGGGCAGGCTGCAGCGGGATGTCCTCGGGGTCTACAGGAGCTGGAGCAGTAAGAATTAGCCCTCCTTTTGGAGCCGAGCGCTGCGGGTAGAGCCAAGGCTGCCTGGGGCGGTGCCCACTCACCGACGGTGGTGGGGAAACGAGTGTGGGGGAAGGGCCTCTGAGCCGTGGAGAGAGCATGAGCCAGCTCTCCGCGTGCTATGGACAGGAACGAAGGTGCCATCTCGGGCACCTCTGTGATCCTAAGTGAACTGTTTTCTTTCTTGTGGCATGCTGTGAAGTTGCAGTTTTTTTGTTCGTTTGTGTTTTTAAATCCTCACCCAAGGCTATTTTTTCATATATCTTCAGATAGAGTGTGAGGGGAGGAGAGAGAGAGAAACATCGACTGGCTGCCTCCTGCATGACCCTGACCAGGGCCAAGGACCGAACCACAACCAAGGTGCGTGCCCTTGATCGGAATCGAACCTCCGACTCTTTGGTCCATGGGCTGACACTGTAACCACTGAGCCAAACCAGCCAGGGTTGAAGTTGCAGTTTTACTGGACACTTTTGTTTGTTTTCAAATGCCAGGTCCCTTGCTCTGGGGATGACTAATTGGACTCTTTTCCCACATAGGGTCATCTTCATCCTTGAACACCACGCTGCCTTCAACTAGTGCCTGGTCATCCATTCGTGCCTCCAACTACAACGTTCCCCTCAGCAGTACAGCACAAAGCACTTCAGGTGGGCCCGGGGCTGGGCGTTGGGGTGAACCCTCTTCCTTATGTCCTGGGGTGGTCGGCTTCTCGAGAGCTGCCGCCACCCCACTGCTGGGCGCATGCTGGGCGCCTGCTCACCACGCACCTCGCTTCTGAGGCAGCGCCTGCGAGGGGAGGAGCTTTTGCCCACTGTTTTTATTTTATTTTAAAGCCAGAGAGGCCTAAGTTTGAATCCTGGCTCTGCTCTGGATCCACAAGCACGTGGCTTACCCCCTGACCCTCCACACATGTGTCAGTTAGAGGAGGTGCCAGGTGCCCTTGGCACAGAGAGGTGCACCTGGTGACGCCTGCTGCGACCACTCCGCGAGATGGGGCTGCCTTCTCTCCACGAGTGAACCACAAGCTCTAACATCTGCTCAGTGGCGCGCGTGGTGGTCCTGAGTGACGGCGGCCGCTGCTGCGGAGCGGTTGGGAGCCGTGTGTGGCCTTCTGGTCCCTGTTAAGGCGCACTGTTGTGCACTGCACTGGGAACCGGCTCGGGGCCCTGCCCTGCGTGGCCGGCCGGTGGTCTGAGGGCTTGGAGGTGGAGGAGACTTCCACACTGGCTTTCTGCTTTCTTGGGCTGTTTGGTTTGGTTTAGGAGTTTTTCATAGAGTTTTACTTTGTTTGATTTGGTTTCAGTGAGAGAGTGGGTATTGTCATTATTTAAATTTTCTCTTTTTTAAAAGCATCATCTCTCTCTCTCTCCCTCTTACCCTCCACTTTTTTTCTCCCCTTCGAGTAGCCAGAAATAGTGATTCCAAATTGACGTGGTCTCCGGGTTCAGTCACAAACACCTCTCTGGCCCATGAGCTGTGGAAGGTCCCTTTGCCACCTAAAAACATCACTGCTCCGTCCCGCCCACCTCCGGGGCTCACTGGTCAGAAGCCACCCTTGTCTACGTGGGATAATTCTCCCCTTCGTGTAGGTGGAGGATGGGGAAATTCTGACGCCAGGTATACCCCAGGTAAGAAAGGGTGCTGGGCACTGAGGGCGCCGCAGGCTGATGCAACAGACCCACGCAGTGCCCTCTGTGAAGGTGCTAGAACCTGAACAACCACTGCCCCTGCGGGTCTGAGGCTTCACTTGACATTTTGCCCGTTTGCCTGAGAACACGTAGCTAAAGACACACAGCGGCAGTCAGTGGTGAGTGGATGGGACGGGGCTCCTTTCTTTGAGAAGTTCCTCTTAGAATAGTGACCTGCTCACGGCAGGATTCTGGGCCCCACAGCACACGGGGCGGGGGCAGTTCGGGGGCAGGGCCGGGAAAGCTGGCGCAGCCCCTCGGGCCTGAGGAGTGGGGCCTGTTTGGGTGAAAGCCTGGCCTAGACGTGGGTGATCACAAACGAACTGTTCACACCGGCCGTGCGGAGTGCGGGTGCTGCTCGCCAGGGGCCGGCGGCTCTCCTGCCCCCCTGTGAGTGACCAGCACGGGCTTGCCGCCGCCTCCAGCACCCTCGGCCCAGGTTGACCCCGCGCTGTCTGCCAGTTCTCCCAGCAGAGATGTCTTGCTTCATTGAGCCCTGCACCCAAATGTACCAAACTTTGACATCTCCAGGCTGAAAATGGTGACATCTCATTAATAATTTCTGATCTTTAAACAGCTGATTGGCTGAAACAAAATTTAGTGTTTTAAGCTACTCTATTCAAATTACTTTAATGGGTGTTATGTGGAAGTCGTTCCTTCAGGCCACGGACATCTGGGTGCCTGCTCAGTGACTGGTCGTGTAGTGTGAGGGACATGATAGAAGGGGCCTGAGAGCCTCCACCCTAAGGAGGGGTGAGCTGAGTGGGACCAGGAAGCCTGGAAGAGGAAACCAAGTCAAGCAGAGGGCACAGCATATGCCAGGGCTCAGAGACCTGGAGACACGCTAGGCTCCCTGTGGACTCAGAAGGGGTTTCAGCGCAGGGTGGCTGAGCCGTGTCATGGAGCTGCCTTCTTCAGCTGCACTGCAGTGTCTGCGAGGTGCCTTGAGACCGTTGTAAGGCTGGCTCAACCACATCTTAAAGGTCTGCTGCTAGGAGAGAATGGGAAGGCAGGGCCAGCTCCTGCGATGTCCAGAGCAAACTAGGGTGTCTGCACAATGGTCTGCGCCTCCTCCCTGGAGCCTGCCCTGGGCGCCGCGCCCGTGCAGCTGTCGACACCTGCCAGCCGCACGCCGAGGCCTTCCCCCAGATGGCACTGTTCTGAGACAGCTTTAGCTTTATAAGTGAGAAGACCCCAAAGGGGACCTTTCTTTCTGGCTCCCCAGCCAGGAGCCCCGCCTTCCGCACACCTGTAATCCGACTGGCTGTGCTTGTCGTGAGTCCTTCAGGCCGTAGGCTCAGGAACTGACTGTCCTCTTTCCTCCTTGTTCAGGGTCCAGCTGGGGTGAGAGCAGCTCAGGGAGAATAACAAATTGGCTTGTTCTAAAAAACCTTACACCTCAGGTAAGAGCACCCGGCATCCTTGTTTATACGGGTACCCTAGGTGGCATGGGAGAGAAGGGCTCCAGGCTTGTTTAAGTGGAGGTAAGAGCTGCCCAGGCTGCTGACTGGCACTAAGTAGGAGTCAGGGCAGAGGAGATGGAGAGCATGGCCTTTGATCCCTGCGCAGGCAGTGGTCTGGTCCAGCCATCACCCTGTGAAGTGTGTGGGAGCTGACCCAATACAGGTTCCCTGGTCTCAGTCCACACAGTGGTTCAGGGGATGTGGGCCTGGATGGGCTCTGCATTCTCACCAGGGCACTCAGATGGGCTTGAGGCAGGTGCTCCAGTTAGAACATCTCAGTCCCTGGCCCTCCCCCTCCTCTGGAGGCTGGGTGTTAAGAGCCCACCCCTCCCCCCCCAGGGAGCAGTGCCTTGGTGGATCCTGTCCTCAGGGCAGGGAAGAGAGAAGACTTGAAGCCACAGCAGGGCAATGGCTAACTAAGGAATTGGGGATCTGGGGAGTGTCCAGGAGTCTAGAGGCCACAGAGGTATGGCTCTGGGACCAGTGGAGGTGGGGAGGGGGGCACTGTACCTTGTCACAGCGGTGAGTCCCAGTGAAAAGTGGCACCAGGAGTGAAGAATCTTGGGCAAGAGAGAGGATGAGAGTCCCATCCTGGGACGGCCTCCCTGGGTGGTCCTTAAGACAGCGCATCTATAGCCTCTCCTCTGTTTCCTAGATTGATGGCTCAACTCTGCGCACCCTGTGCATGCAGCACGGCCCCCTGATAACATTCCACCTGAACCTCCCACATGGAAACGCTTTGGTCCGTTACAGTTCAAAGGAAGAGGTAGTGAAGGCACAGAAGTCTCTGCACATGTAAGTTGGCCTTTCTGTGCACCACCTGGCGGTGCCCTGCTTGGGGTCCTTGGGTGTGAGAGCACCCCCGCCGGCAGCATGGTCCGTGCAGGGCACTTGCTCACAGCTGCGGCCCTATCTGGGTCCCGTGGTTGGTACTCAGAAGAGTGTTCTGAAAAAGAAGCATCGCCCTGGTCCCATGGCCCTAGAAAATCCCTTCAATTGCCCAGCGGGGACAGAAAGACTAATTGCAGGCACAGCTGCCCTGTGGGGTGTTACGAAGGCAGGTGCCCACATGGGGGGTGCTTGGTACTTTGTGTCCTAGACATTGTGTTGTCTCTATGTTGAATCAGGTGTCCCCTCAGGGTGCTGAGCCCTCACCGTGCCGTTTCTCTCCTCAGGTGTGTATTGGGGAACACTACTATTCTCGCTGAGTTTGCCAGTGAAGAGGAGATCAGTCGTTTCTTTGCACAAAGTCAGTCTCTGACCCCTTCCCCCGGCTGGCAGTCCCTCGGGTCCAGCCAGAGCCGGCTGGGCTCCCTCGACTGCTCCCACTCGTTCTCCAGCCGGACTGATCTCAATCACTGGAATGGTGCTGGGCTGGCGGGAACTAACTGTGGAGACCTTCATGGCACTTCCCTCTGGGGGACTCCGCACTATTCCACAAGCCTGTGGGGTCCTCCAAGCAGCAGTGACCCCCGAGGAATGAGCAGCCCATCCCCCATTAATGCTTTTCTTTCTGTTGACCACCTGGGTGGGGGTGGAGAGTCCATGTGACAGGTAGAGGTAGACTCGTGACCATGACCTCAAGATTCGAAGGAAAGGGGCACTAAGTTGAGCTCGCTGCCTGCAGCCGGGGCCACCTGTGGGAACAGCTCTTCTCTGCACATTTTCCACTTTGTTTTCCCCGAAACATATCAGTTTGAATACTTGAATCATGCAGGCCAATATATAATGTGAAGGTGTCTCGTCCCACTCCCACTGGCGCCGTGCGTGCTGACCGCGTAGTGAGCTCACTTGTGCGTATTCATCATGTTTAGCCTTTGGGTTCTTTTCTTTTTCTTTTTTTCTTCCTATTCCCCCACCCCACTCCCTTTTGTTATTGCAAAACCATTATTTGGGCTGATGATGTATGAGCTTTTACCTTTGCACTGAATGATGTTCTCTCCGTCTGATCGGCAGTGGGGGGGCAGCTGTTCCGGTGTGATGTTTACTCAAGGACGTTGTAAGGTGTGTGCTTCTCCACGATGCCTTGATGTCCGCCTACCTTACTGTGGTGTCATGGGGTTTGAGATCGCGTTATGATGCTGACTTAGGACGATAAATGAAAGTATTGCACCATTTCTTCATGTTATAAAACTAAAGAATTTCGCTCTGCAGTTTGAAAAACTGTGGCCACAGCTGTGACTTGCAGCCCACCTGCCACCCAGGACGGGCCCGCACTTTGAATAGGCTTTTCCATTTTCTTTTGAAGGCTCCCACGTTGAACCTTCTTGTTTACAGATTTTTTTGTTTGTTTTTTGAGAAAAAAATGTTTACTCTTCCATCATTTAAAAAAAAATTAAAAGACAAAAAAAAAATGGAGGATGACTTAAAAAATGCTTTCTATCTCTGGGAAAAGGAGCAGCATTTGGCCATGTTCTTTTGTTTTTCTATTCCTGTCCTAAATCAAAGAGCATGGTTCTCAGGAAAACCAGTTCCCCAGTTAAAAAAAATCCTTGTAGTTTCTTATAGGAAAAGAGGAAACCCCAAGTTCTAGCACTGATACTATGTATTGCTCTGTTAAAGAATTTTCTCTGCCAAAAAAGAAAAACAAAAAACAAAAAAATGCTTCAAGCTGGAGTTCGACGTTCTGCTTTCAGACGCTGTCTTTTTATTAGTGAGTGATGATGGTTTGCTAATAATCAGTAGGTAATAATTTTTGTAATCCCATCAAGTGGCTCTCTGTTTCTGCTGTCGTGACTGTGTTAATGTTTAACTGTTGTACCTTAAAGCTGAAATCAGTAACTATGCATCCTGTAAGCAAGGTATTGGGCTTACAGAATCGTTCATTGTATAAAGAAAATTTTAAATGTTGTTGCGAACTAACGAGTTACACCATTTTTACAGTTTCTTTCTCTCCTCCCCCCTTTTTTGCCCACAAATGGTATTATAATGCTTGCTTAGTCGAAGGAGAGACTAAACAAGGGTAAAAATTTTAACAGAGAATTTGCCATCATTTCATTGCCTTGATTCTAACTGTTTGTGTCCTACGATGCAAAAGAAGTCAGTGGCTTTTAACTGTTTACAAATAGAATGTGATTGTAAAATGTACAGTTTGGTTGTGTTTAATTATGAAATTTCTTTAGGTATAATAAACCATGACTTTTTGGCTGCTCAACATTAATTGTCTCTTTTTTGTGAATTTATTTGTACGCTCTTTTTATAATGAAAGTTTTCAAGTTGCCATGTATGAGGGTTCTCATAGTGCAACTGATTAAAAATCTAAGCAAATATTGGAACATTTTATCTGAACTTATCCACAATCTTGCCCTGAAACAATGTGAGAACAATGGGAAACTGTAGCTTGCTCCCTCCGGCCCTCCGAGCACCTGTGGGATCTTGTTGCTCAGAGCTCCTGTGACTTCATCTTCCTACCGTTTGTGCCCGTCTCAGGCCTCAGCGAGACCATCCAGGACATGCAGCCTGCTGCCCTGGCGGTGCCCTGGCGCTGAGCCCATGCCTCTGTCGCAGAGCAGGAGGTGCCACGCCCAGACTGGCCTTCTCCTCTGCAGGAGCTCCGGGTGTGACCCCCAGGTCTCGCTCCCCCGGCCAGGTGTAAGCTGGTGTTCAGTCGTTCGATGTGTATTGACTTCCATACTGGTTTTTCCAAAAACCAAAGGTAGCTTTGAAAAACCACGTCTGGAGATGTTTGGAACGTTGAGCTGATTGACCTTTTGGGGCTTTGAGAAGTATATAATTGACTTCATAACTGCGTTAATTGTATTGTTCAAGTGTTTGGGAGTTTTTTGCGCTTGTTATGTGGAAATAAAGTGTTTGGTTTAAAAAATTAACAAGTGGTTGATTTTTCTTGATCCTCAAATAATACAACTCTGTTCCCTAAGCCACTGTGTTTCTCCGAAATCGACCTTAATCTTTCCCAACTGCCCCTGCCTTGGTCCAGGCTATTAGTCTGACTGACAGTTCCCTGCTTAATGGCTCCCGGCCACTGACAGCCAGCAGGAGAGGGTCCCAGTGGCCACGTGGCTCCTCCCCCGGCCGTGCTCTGGGCTCTGGCCGTCCTGAGCTGCCCTGGCTCTGCGTTCTGCCTGCACCAGTGGGCCCGCCACACCACCTCACCCTCAGAAATGACCACTGCTCTCCCTGTCCCATTGCCGAGTCCCGTCGGCACGGCCTCGAGGTCCTGTGCCTGGTCGTGAGTAAGCTCTTGCTCATTTGTGTGCTCGTGAGTGGCCAGGCGCGTGGTTATGGGAAGGAATAAACTGTTTACCTGTTGACATTGCAGGACCAAAGACGGGGTACCACTGTTGAACTGCAGGTGGATGAGCCAGAGGAGGAGGAGGTGAAGTTCTTCACAGGCAGGGTTAAATCCAGGCTCAGTACTGGGGAGAGAGGGTTTGAGGTACAGCAGGGAGACGTTTCAGTCAAGACAGGAGTACAACCTGGCTGGTCTGGCTCAGCGGGTAGAGTGTCAGCCCCTTCACCTAAGGGTCGCAGGTCCAGTTCCCAGTCAAGGCCACATACCTGGGTTGCAGGTTCAATACCCAGCCCCGGTCAGGGTGCACTTGGGAGGCAACCAATTGATGTGTCTCACATCGATGTTTTTCTCCCTCCTTTCCACTCTCTCAAAATCAATGGAGAAAAATATCCTTAGGTGAGGATTAACAACAAAAAGACAAGAATACAGATTGAGGTTGCACTGAGAAGTTGGCTTCTTGTCCAGCTGAGAACGTTTACATCGTTGGGAATCGACTAGTTTACCCTCTTCAAAGTTTGAATCTTTTCCTATGGAGCCTTCGTTTTCAGATGTGAGTGGTGGGGCCAGACTGCAACCCATATGGACCTGAGCCCCTTACACAGACCAGGTGTCCCAGGCACTTGGAAAAGCATGGGAAGGGGGAGTAACCTTACTGGTGTGTTAGGGTTTACACACCAGGTGCTCTGTACATGTTTTCTCACCTGACTCGGCACCCCAGCCTGCCCCAGCACAGGAAACTACCGTAGTCAGGGTTTCTCATTGTGCAACACCGCCGAAGCTGGGGACGGCAGGTGCACCTCCCCTCGGGATCTGGAGGCAGAATTTCAATCTTTGCATGCTAGGTTAAGACTGAATATGTTGCCTTCTGCTCTAGCACATCTGTTTTCATCCGAAAATAAGGTAAGAAGTAGCCGTGAAGTTGCCCTTCCGGCAGTCTGCTGCGGAGAGCTCCAAGGACGCTCGCGTCCCAGAGCAGCAGAAAACGATCTCAAGCAAGGGACCATAGTGACCCCTGCTCGCTGACCCGCCCCTGTCGGAGCCCTTGGGGGCCAGGCTCCCCAGCCTGCGGATAGACCAGGCCTCGCTTTTGGGTGACTGTATCCGCAGTCCAGCCAACTTCGACGAGGACAGATGTGGAATGCCAGGATCCGAACAGCCCGCAGCCCGAATCCAGTCACGCCCGTTACCGCACCGCATCACTGAACACCTGGGTTTTCATGGCGCTCGTGGTTTTTAAAGTCAAATCAATTTATTGACAAAGGAAAGTTGAAGGCATATGGAAAGAAATCAGTGCTGTTTGCCATGAAATCAAGGGAGCTATTTTTTTTTTTTTTTTTTTATCCTCACCCGAGGACACTTTCCCATGTTTTTTTTGTTCAGATAGAGTGGGAGGGAGGGAGAGAGAGAGAGAAACATTGATGTGAAGGGACACATCGAGTGGCTGCCACCCTCATGACCAACCAGGGCCGGGGACAAACTGCAACCGAGGTACATGCCCTTAGCGGGAACCGAACCCGGGTCTCTCTGGACCGCAGGCCGACGCTCTAACCGCTGAGCCAAACCGGCCAGGGCCAAGGGAGCTATGAAAGAAACACGAAAACAAATAAAAACCAATGCATTGGAGTCTGTGGGAGCTGGCGGGAGAGGTGAGATCCCGGTGGAGGGTCGAGGCCACCGCAGACAGCCAGACGCAGCCGACCTCTGCCAGGGCGAGCCGTCTCCATTTGTGGCCCAGTGTCTCCTCTTCGGCGGAAAAGCCTGTCAGGTCACCAGGGTCTGGGACCCACGCTTCAGGAATTGCTGCTCTGGGAGACTTGAGGTGTGTTCAGGGGGTCGAAGTCACCTCCCAAAAGTGTCCTGCTAGAAGCCTCCGGCTCAGCTTTTCACGGAAGCACCTCTGACCCCAGCTCCGGTCTCCACAGAGCAGCACCCGTGACGTCCGAGCCACCCACGCGGGACAACCCTGAGCGGTGGGGGTACACCAGGTGCCCTTGGGGGTACACCAGGTGCCCTTGAGGCGGGGCGTTCGAGCAGACCCTCGGAGCGACAGCCGGGCTTGGCGATGGCGGCCGAGGCTGAGCGGAGACCCGGGTCCGAGGCACGGCCAGGAGACCAGCAGTGGGGCTGCGGACAGTGCCCCCAGCCAGGATTGCCTGGGAGCGGCGGGACAGTCGCCGTGCTCAGGAGCCGCAGAGTGATCTCACTGAGACCAACATACTTTAAAACCTGCATTTTTTATAGCACAAGTTATACAATCTGACGTCCCTTCAGCACCCTGCCTTTTGCCTGACCCCTGCCTGACCCCTGCCTGACCCCTGCCTGAACGCAGAGCACGTGCCTTCCCGCACGTGCCGCCGAGGCTCGGGGCAGCGACCAAGCCTCACTGCACTGCCAGCCGCCTCCCGCCGGGGCCCCGCCTCCCGCCCCCCCCCGCCCGGGGCCCCGCCTCCCGCCGCGCCCCCCCCCCGCCCGGGGCCCCGCCTCCCGCCGCGCACCCCCCCCCCCCGCACGGGCCCCCGCCTCCCCCCGCGGCCCCCACCGCCCGGGGCCCCGCCGCCCCACTTCTCTGTGCTCTTCACTGCCTGGGGCGCACCTCTCGCTGCAGCTCCCCACTGCTCTGCCACAACACCGTCCCTCAGAGAGGCTCCCCTCATTACAAACACTGTCCCTCAGGACCCTGGTTCTGAACCAGGGCAAGTTCGGTCCCTGTCCCAGGGGACAGTTGGCAATGCCTGGGGCCCATCTTGGCTCTTACGGCTTGGGGGTGGTGACTGCGCCTGGCATCTAGTGTGTGGAGTCAGGGGAGCGACTACATGTCCTGGACGCGCGGGACAGCCTGGCAAAGGACTGCCCAGCTCCAAGTGCCAGCAGCACCAGGACGGACCCTGCTTCAGCACATGGCTCCCTGTGCCCTGTGCCCTCACGCAGAGCAAATGCCTCCGTCCTCCCTCTGACTGCAGAGCGCGGTTAGAGCAGGTCACCCCCAGCCTCCAGCCCTTCAGGGGTTCCCACAGCACTCAGCATAAAGCCCATGACCCTTGTTTCTGTGGCCCCACTGACCTCAGGCCTCCTCTGGGTGAGTGCACAGTGGTGGCCTCAGAGAGGACACCAGACGGTTCCGAGTCTGCTTCCCAGCTGTGAAAGAGAGGTGCCAGCACCCCCATCTCCAGTTCTAAAGCCCAAACAGCTTGGAGAACCAAAGGCTTTTTGGTCAGTTTGTGGCAAACCCAGCTGTTGCAAAACTGACTTGAGGTTCTTCACAGGTCTTTTTCACAGTGTGAAAAGTTTCAGGTCTCACTGCGGAAACAGGGATGTGTTTGGTGGTGGACAGTTGTCCCAGTCCCCCTGGAGTGTTGTGTAAACACAGGAAGAATAATTAGGGTGGCATCCTCCCTGCCACCACCACCACCAATGATAAAGGCGTTATCTTGACAGAATGGAGATGAAGCTCAATTCTCCAGATCCAGCCCCAAGAGTCGGAGAAGAAGTCACCTCTGGGGGCCGCGTAGGGGTGCAGAGGCAGCACAGCATCCAGAGTGATCGGTGAGTGTCATCGGTGGTCATCGGTGAGTGTGTCAGGGCACAGCTCCTGTCCTGAGATGTTCCAGTCTGTCAGGGGGCCACAGCAGGAGTGTAGGACTAGAGTCCCCAACAAATAACAATAAGACGAGTAAACTGAGGCTTTCAGAAGTGTACCTGCCTGGCCCAAAGCCACGGGGCTGGTGAGCAAGGGAGCCAAGGGGTCTGAGCCCACACCTGCCTGACTTCAGACCCATGGCCTTCGAATTTTGGAGAGCACCTTTGAACAAGCCGAGCTCTGTCCCCTGCTGGCGGGAATGTAAATGGCACAACCACTTTGGAAAACAGTTTGGCAGCTTCTTACATAGTTAACTGTACACTGACAATGTGACCCAGCCATCTCCCTCTGCAGTACTTACTCAAGAGAAAGGACTTTATTGTAGTCAGCCCAAACAACTCAAATATCAACAGATGAAGGGTAGCTCCATACAACGGAGCTATTATTGATAAACAGAATGGATAAATCTCAAAATAATTATGCTAAGAGAAAAAAAGCCAGACGAAAAAGATTACATACTAAATAATGTCATTTGTGTAAAATTCTGGAACATGTGAACTAATCCACAGTGAAAGAAAACAAATTGAACCAGTGGTTTTCTAGGGATGGGGGTTGCTCAAAATTTTGGGAGGTGATGGATATCATCTGTGGCAATGGTTCCAAGGTGCATGCATATGTCAGAACTCATCCATGGGACATTTTTCATATGCACGATTTTTACTGCATCAATCATTTATTATAGCCTTTAAAAAAAACTCCCTTTGCCCTGGCCAGTTTGGCTCAGCGGTTAGAGCGTCGGCCTGCGGTCCGGAGAGACCCGGGTTCGGTTCCCGCTAAGGGCACGTATTTCGGTTGCAATTTGTCCCCGGCCCTGGTTGGTCGTGCGGGTGGCAGCCACTCGATGTGTCCCTTTCACATTGATGTTTCTCACTCTCTCTCTCTCTCCCTCCCACTCTATCT